TCCGTCACGGCGCGATGGTCATTTTGTTCTGGCACCAACTTTTCTATCTTTTTCCCGAATTTATTCCTATAAATACTGTAGCCTTTCGAGGGTTATGGGCATCATTTTCTGCTCACATTCTCCCTAATACTCTTGTTCCTTAATATCTCATCTCTCAAATCTTTTACAATTCCTCTTTCTAGATATACATACTGGACTTACCTTGAAATGCGATTTCCCTAACTTTGTACTCCTTATTTGAAACCTTTTTTTTTTTCCTTTTCTACTTATGCAAATACGTATGTCGTACAAGTAAAACTTGTAATATCGGTTGATATAGATATACATACTTCCGCACTCACGAGGGCCATTACGAGTTTTTGGTGATGCCATTTGGGCTCACCAATGCTCTGGCGACTTTCCAGAGTTTAATGTACATTGTTTTCAGGCCGTATTTACGAAAGTTTACTCTGGTTTTCTTTGATGATGTGTTGGTTTACAGTAGGAATATTGATGAGCATTGTGAGCATTTGTCACTGGTCTTTGAAGTTTTGCAGGAACATCAACTTTATGCCAACAAGAAGAAGTGTGATTTCGGGCAAGAAAGAGTTGCCTATTTAGGGCATGTTATCTCTGGGCAGGGTGTGGAAGTGGATCAGGAAAGTGCAGGCTATGCTTGGGTGGCCTCAACCTCGGTGTTTGAAAGAGTTGAGGGGGTTTTTGGGGCTAACCGGATATTACAAGAAATTCATCCGGAACTACGCCCAAATCGCTCACCCATTCACGGATCAGTTGAAGAAGAACAATTTCGGGTGGAATGAGTCGGCTACCATGGCTTTTCAGACCCTAAAACAGGCCAGACTCAAGCCCCTGTTCTGACCATGCCCAATTTTTAAAAAACATTCATTCTGGAAACGGACGCCTGTGGTCACAGTGTTGGTGTCGTGCTCCTCCAACTTGGACACCCGATTGCTTACTTTAACAAACTGTTGGGCAGCAGGGCGCAAGGCAAGCCAATCTACAAAAAGGAGTTGATGGCAATTGTTATGGCGGTTCAGAAGTGGCGCTATTACCTTCTGGGCAAGACCTTTGTGGTTTGAACAGATCAAAAAAGTTTGAAGTTCCTGTTGGAACAACGGGAAGTGGGTCAGGCTTATCAGAAATGGGTAGGTAAATTGCTGGGCTATTCTTTTGAGATTCATTATAAATCGGGAACCAGCAATGTTGTGGCCGATGCCTTGTCTCGGAAATTTGCCCCTGACATTTCTTGCTCCACCATGGTTTCAGCTTGTGGGTTCCAGTGGTCTCAAATTCAAGAGCTGGTACAAAAAGATGCTTTCATTGCCAAATTGATGCTTAACCTGCAGCAGGAGGTTCACACACTGAAGTGGTTCACTCTTGAGGGCAACATTCTGAAGTACAAAGGTCGGGTAGTATTTCCCAGACACTCCAAGTTCACCTCTGCTCTTATGCTTGAGTATCATGTTTCCTTAGTTGGTGGGCACACTAGAGAATATAAAATGTACCAACGATTGGCCACCGAATGGTACTGGATTGGGATGCGTAAAGATGTGATGGAATATGTGAAGGCATGCACCATCTGCCAGAGGAACAAAGCCTCCACGGTCAGCCCTTTAGGCTTGCTTCAACCTCTTCCAATTCCAGATAAAGTTTGGGAAGATGTGTCAATAGACTTTATAGAAGGTCTTTTAAGGTCGGCTGGCTGGGATACGGTGTTGGTTGTGGTGGATAGGCTATCTAAATATGCCCACTTCATCCTCTTGAAGCACCCGTTCACAGCCCCTGTGGTTGCTCAGGTGTTTGTCAAGGAAATCGTGAGACTCTGTGGCATACCAAACACGATCGTATCGGATAGGGACAAAACCTTTGTAAGTTCATTTTGGAAGGAATTATTTTATAAATTGCAAGGAACATGTTGGATATTTAGAGTGTTGATGGTTGCACGCTCACGAACCATGAGGAGCGCCCGCGCAAGGTAGGCACGGCCGCGCAGAGAATGCGCCTAAACCGCGTACCTCTCTGGAATTTGGAACTTTGGAAGGGTAAGGTTGGCGCGCCCGCGCGTCCTAGAGGCACGCCCGCGCTGCTGGTCGCGCCTAAACCGCGCCCCCTTCTGCCTTCCTGTGGAAATTTCGCAGGTTTTGTGAGGAGCGCCCGCTCCTCCTTGGGGCGCGCCTGCGCCACCCTGTTTTGCGGTTTTTTTCTGACGATTGAGTCTTTATTAAAGGTTTGATTTCGTGAAAGCTTTTACACGGAAGAAATTATTCGGTATCTCTCCAAAGTAATTCTCCACAATTTTCTCTCAAACTTCTTGCAAACTTGTGTGAGAAATCTCTTCCAATTAATCCAATTTTGTGAATTAATCATCTTCAATTCGATTCTTAGTGCAAAGAACGATTGGCTGTCTTTTGTATCTCAAAGAGTATTTCCGGATTGAACCCAAGCACCGTTGTGGGGGAAATTAAACTCTTTAGGAAAGTGTTCACACGCCTAAGACAGTGTATCAAGGATTGAGACTCAAGTGGTCATTGTATTTCTCATGTTCATGTTCATTCTCAAGGCTTGGAGTTGAGGCAAGTGTAATATATTTCACATTAGTGTTTTTCTTAGTATTTTCTGTAATACTTTGATAATTCGGTGTTTGGTTGTAATATACTGAGTAATATTGATTGTTGTATAATCGAGTTGAATTATACTTCTTTTAGGTTTTGTTCCCACATTAATAAGTAGTTCTTGTTCTTGAATTACTGAAAACCTAACAGAACACAGCTAGCTTAGAGCACCGCCTACCACCCTCAATCCGATGGACAAACCGAGGTGATTAACAAGGGGATTGAATCGTACTTGAGATGCTTTGTCAATGGAAAACCCAAGTCTTGGTCTTCTTGGATTCCTTGGGCGGAATATTGGTACAACACATCCTTTCACACCTCCACCCTTCGCACTCCATTTAAGGTGTTGTATGGCAGGGATCCCCCTCGTTTAGTGAGGTTCACTCCCGGTTCAACTGTTGTTTCGTCAATTGAGGAACAGTTGCTGGATCGTGATGCCACTTTGGATGATCTTAAGTTCCACCTCCTCGAGGCTCAAGAGTACATGAGGGATTATGAGAACAAGAAGCGGAGAGATGGGCGGTTTGAAGTTGGAGATTGGGTGTTCTTGAAATTGCAGCCATACCGCCAGCATTCAGTGGCTCGTAGAGGATATCTGAAGCTTTCCCCTAGATTCTATGGGCCTTATAAGGTGGTACAGCGTGTGGGAACCGTGGCTTACAAGCTGGAATTGCCGGCGGGGGCTAAGATCCATCCGGTCTTTCATATTTCACAGCTAAAGAAAGCCCATGGACAGCATTTTAATCCCACTCCCTTACCCTCCCAACTCACGACTGAGTTAATTTTGGAAGTGGAACCTAAGGCGTGGTAGGGGTCAGGAACAAGCAACAGGGTACACAACTCTGATGGAAGTTCTTATCAAGTGGAAGAATTTGGCTGACTTTGAGGCCACTTGGGAGTTTTACGCTGACATTTATGATACATTTCCAGCCTTCCACCTTGAGGACAAGGTGAAACTTGTCGCGGGGGGGTATTGCAAGGAACGTAACTAGGCCCCCTATTACAGCTACTTATGCAAGGCGCAAGCGTAGGAATATTTGAAGCAGCGTCGCTATTGCATTTCAGTTTTGCATTTCAAGTTTTGTTAAGGGCATTCTGTTATGATAATAAATTCTGTTATGAGGGCATATTAGTCTTTGTATAAAACAGAATATAACTCTGTTAGGAGGAATGCTTAGGTGTGCTTAGGCAGTTGCGTAATAAAGCTATTTAAGCTGTAATGAGGGTAATTAGCTGATCATCCAGAAAGTGTGTAGCTAATGTGGAGAGCACCTTCCTCTCAAAAGAAGGCCATTGTTGTGTTGTAAGGTTACACTGATTTTGCAATACAACCGTTAGCTGCTCTCCTCCCTATTCCTCCTGTATTTCTGAAATTGATCCAATACCTAGCACTGCTCATTTAGAAATGTGTTCTTTCATAGCTCATATCACCAGATAATCATCTAGCTAAATATGCTTCAGCAAAAGAAAACATAGATAACTCTATGAGGGCATGTTTGTTCTTAATGTATGTTATCATGGTATCTGGTAAATTTAACTCATAACGCCAGAAAGGTTGCAGTCTTTTTTTTTTTTTAAAGACAAATGTTCAGTTTTTTTAGTATTATGAAAACATGTGTATTGTTCTCCACATTTACTTCAATTCTATATTTCTAACATCTGAAATTAAAACTTATATTATTGGTACAAAAATAAGTATGTACCTGTGCCTTGCCAAGTTCTAAACTTTAGAAACCTACCAAATCAAGTGCCGATGTCATATCATAATCGATGTATCAGTGCATCAAACATATCACTTCAGCACCTCTGTACCAATCCATTAGACAAAGAAGCTTTTAATATTTTAGGTTGGTAGGTAGTCTCATCCAAAGACAGAATGTTGACTGCACCATATTAATATCACCATATTTGTGCGGCTGTACCAATGCATCATATATCTTAAATTTGTAGTTCATGCAGAACATTATCTCACCCAAACACAGAATATTGATTGCATCATATTCATTCACCATCTCTATGCCAATGCATCAGAATACCAGATATCTTAAATTCATAAATCATGCAGAACATTCTCTCATCCAAACACAAGAAATTGGCCACATCGACACCAAGCTGTCGGTTGCAGCTATAGTCCTGATGTCAAAACAGACAGCTCTAAGTCCACTGAGGATACTCCTGTAAACAGGAAGCAATATTTGTTCTGCAACTGCTGTATAGTGTATCAGACACTAAAGTTACACAAGAATCATTAAAGTTTTTCTTTTTCAAATGAGCTAGTTTTAGACATGAAATTCGAACAGTATACCGCAAAGATGATCAAACTTTGTTTCCTTTGGTACTGTTTTCATGTTCTTGAATAAGAAACAGGAAGAAAATAGAGCCAGGAAATTGAGCTAAATTATGCTTCAATAGACCAAAACAACATAAACTCCATTCAATAGAAAACACACAGTTGTTTTGTTTAAGTAGTACATAATAGAATAACACAGGCCCATTGAGCCATCATACAAGAAAACATAAAGCAGAAGGTATGCTATACACCAAACACTCTCAAAGCTTCAACCCCTTATTTTAATATCAAAGGATAAAGATGGGGGAGATTAACTTAAAACTGACAATAAATCATATCAGTCCTCATCATGGTGCCTGCGCTGGTGGTGGTGGTGATACTTCTGGCGACGCTTCTCATCATCATCATCAGAATCATTGTCACCCTGCCACATTTGAAAGAATAAAATCATTAATGTATGTTACATCTGAAAAAGTTCACTATATTGTTTTTAAAATTGCTGTCATGAGGGGAAGCAAGGATACATAGAATCACACCACATAAGTTCAGCTTAATATTTTGGCATGTTATCCAAAAAATATCAACTAAACAACTAAGATCCACCAGAATATATAATTTCATCAATATTATGGCCAAATTTTTTTCAACGAGAAGAGTTTAGTTTCTTTTGATTTCAAATTACTAAAGGTACAATTCATGCATTTCAGTTTTGTCATTAAATCAAATGACACGAAAAGCAGTTTTAATTATTGAAAGGCTTCACCAAAATATGTGCAAAAGTGTTTGCTAAATCACAGAAAAACTTCCAAGTACAGTTAGTGTATTTGGGAGAAGTCCATTAGCAACCAATTACTTCATACTTTCCGTTTCACAATACGTGCATCACTTTGACTATTTACACTATTTATAAATCAACTTTGACCACATTTTATGAATAATATGTAAAAGTAAATTTCATTGTATTAATAATTGTAAGGTTAATCTCAATTATATTTTCAATGTATCAACTTTTGATATTTGTTTTCTACTATATATTAAAAGTTATTAATTACTAAATTTGTTTCGTGAGCAAGCTTAAAAGTCAAAATGGTGCGTGTATTGTAAAATAAAGGAAGTATATATATTAAAAACGTGAGAGCTTCTACTAAACATTATGAAAAAAAAAAACACACACACACACATTAGAAGGAACCTTGCACATCCCAATGGGTGTGCACCACAAGCTGCCTGGAATCATAGATCAAAGTGGCAAGGAAGCAAGGAATAGATATAACTAGATGAATCAAAACGTGGAGAAGCAGATGAACTTTAAGATCGCCTCAGGAAAGCAAAGAGTGAAGCTCAAGTTATTACTTTTTTTTGGCAGTTGCATAGTACCTAGCAGGCTAGCACAATCACCCAACCATGATACAAGACAATGACTTTAAATTACCACAAACTCATTGAATACGCCATACAAGATCCTTAAATGTTAATCATATTGGGGCTCTCATCCAATCCCAAAATTAACAGCTTAAATATGTATTGAATGCAGTAATGATGGGGCAAGAAAGGTCAGTGTCTCAAGGCGGTGTAAATGGGTGTTAAAGACTTATAAAGGGAAGAAAAAGGCACAGCCAGTAAACAAGGACATGTTCATCATCAAGACAATCCTCCGAGGACACTCAATTACCATCGTCCTAATCCATATAAAAATGCAAACACTAGACTAGCCAGAAACTGTGGGCAACTCTTACCAAAATATATGTTCCATATCGTGATTATAGGATTAGCATTACTATACTGTATTCAACTCTATTATGTGTGTTTGGCCACTAAGTAATGTTTATTCAAGTTATTCAACTTCGCAACAATACTACATTCATCAATGGCTAACTAACTTAAGGTTCACGGCTAAAATTCTATTCATGTTCTATATTCTACATCTATGCTCCTAACATTGGTAATTGACTTTTGAATACTGCAATTATGATACTATCCTTGATCATGTACTATATACAGAACCATGATCATAATCAACCATTTCTGTAAAATAAAAGACTTGCAGCTATATTCTAGATATATGCAGCTATTAACAAATCACAAGATAACATACTAACAGAACCAAAATTGAATTCACAAACACAAAAGATAAAATCAGAAAATTAGAGAAAACGAGCTGCTTACATATTTCTTCCGGCCATAGCCTTCATCTTCATCATCACTCTTTCTTTCATAACCAGTCCTACCATAAGAAGATCCACCATATCCTTCTCCTTCCTCCCTTCCATACTTAGGCTTCTCATATTCAGTCCTTCCTCCACCATAACCAGATCCATATTCCGGAGCCGGAGCTTCATATTCAGTCCTCCTCCCATACCCAGATCCATATTCCGGAGCCGGAGCTTCATACTCCGTCTTTCTCCCATATCCAGACCCATATTCCGGAGCCGGAGCTTCATACTCGGTCTTTCTCCCATACCCAGATCCATATTCCGGAGCCGGAGCTTCATACTCAGATTTCCTTCCATACCCAGATCCATAATCAGAAGTCGGAGCCTCATACTCTGGTTTCCTACCATACTCAGATCCATATTCAGAAGTCGGAGCTTCATACTCGGATTTCCTACCATATCCAGATCCATATTCCGAAGTCGGAGCTTCATACTCGGGTTTTCTACCATACCCGGATCCATATTCCGAAGTCGGAGCTTCATATTCAGGTTTCCTCCCATACCCAGATCCATATTCAGAGGTGGGTGCTTCATATTGAGGTCTTCCACCATATTCCGAACCACTACCTATCCCCCCACCTTGATGATAACCAGGTTGGGGAAGGTGGGGCTGATACCCCGACCCGCTTCCGTAAGCAGGGGCGGGTTGGGGTGTACCACCGTAAGTGATCGGCGGGCGAGATCCAGGGCGGGCATAGCTCTTGTACTCATTCTCCTGAGCCTCCTCGGCGTAGGCGGATGGCTCGGCGTAGGATGAGTAATGAGGACGATCGTAGTCAATGCCTCCGCCATCGCTGCCGGAGGAGGAAGGAGGGTAGCAAGTCTCATGGGAAGGAGGGAGAGGGCTGCCGTAGACGCGTGCTTGGACGTAACCTCCGCCGTAAGGGGTTGGATCGTATTCTTCGAAGTCATCGCCGTCATAGTTTCCGCCTCCGCTGCCTCTTGGGTAGTACGACATCGTTGCTTTGGGTTGATTGATTGGTAATTGAGATCTGGTGGTATTTTTCTGGTTTCTGTTTTGAAATTGATTGGATTTTTTTGAAGGGTGTATAAATAAATAGGAGGAATGTGAACGAGAGTTGTATGATTTGTATGGTGCGGGCTCTGCGGAGAGTTTTTCCTTTTCTTTTTTTTTTTTTTTGCCAAAAATAAATAAATATAAATATATATAAAATAAATGAACTATTTTTTTTTAGAAAAGGGGATGTCAACTATGTCGTGGGCTCGTGGCCTCTACATCTTTGCTTAGTTTAACCGCTAATTAATCAAACTAATGTTTGGTTTTTTCAATCCATCAATTTAAGTGCAATAAGTGCAGTCAACTACATGAACTAAAAGGAGGAGGATTTCCGCCAGTCCCAAGCCTTGATAAAAGAGGAGGATTTTGGTAGGCCAGTGACAGTCACTGTAAAACTTTGTCACATCTCATGACATGGCACGATGCTCGACTTTTTAAAGTGGAAAAATAATTACCTATTTTTTTATATATAAAAAGCAGTAATTTTTAATATTAATTTGGAATAAAAATTGAAAAGTGTTTTGAATGCATCAACAAAATTAAACAAATCATTTGTATCCACTTTATCAAGGTTCAATGTGTTCTAGAATTTAGGGGCGGGAGAAAAGAATAATGGAAAAACATCCTATTAGTGGTTATTGCTTTATTTAACTATATAAGTCTTGTTTGGAATTAATACCTTTGTTTTATAATTGATTACACAATAAAAACAATACGATACACTTGTCAATATTAGGGCAGCTAACACGCGCGATGCGCGAGTCATAGCTAGCCATATCTAGAATCTCTTTCGATTTGGCCTTAGAATCACAAATTTAGTTGTTGACAAAATTAATGAGAGAAAATATATAAACAACTATGTTTAGAGGTATAAGACAACTAATATTAATGAGAGCAAATAAGTACATAAATATTTTAGAGGTTACAATTATCCAAATACTATTCATCTAAAAAAATTTGTAACATATCAATGAGGGTATATATGTAAATAAACATTTTGAAGGGTATAATTGGCATCACACTATTTATAAGAGTAATCTTGTACTTTTAATAAGGTAGGGATGTTAATAATCTATTTGAACGAAGTATACGAATATATAAGTGTATTGGTTTGACTGGAACTTTTTAGTTGTTCAAAAATCAAACCAAGTGGTTGCTTGGTTAACCTTCAAAAGTGTAGGAAATAGAAATTCATGGAAATTTGCAAAAGGAGTTGTTTTTTGGTTGACAATAAAATGTGAAAAATGGAGGAATTAGAAAATCATGAAAATTTGAACTTCCCACAAACATGAGGAATATATTACCACACATCCCTTCTAGTCAATAAAAATTCATGGAAACTTCAAATTCTCTTGTTTTAAACCAAACAAGATTACAAAATTCCTAGGAATTGTAATTGGGAAGTAATTTCCCATGTAATATGATTTCCTATAGGAATTTACTTCCCATATATACCAAACAAGCCCCAAATCTACAAATGGTCCGAATCGGATCGGAAATAACCAATATGGTATGGAGTCCAGATATTTAAAAAACCGGTTTTTGGTTTAGTTTGGTCCAAAACCCCTCAAAACCAATCATAGACCGAATCGGTCTTTTTAAAATTATGAATAACTCTTCTAGAATGTTTAAAATTTACGTTTAATATGCTATATACTTTTATATTTTTGAGATATTTTAAGTTAAAGGGTCAAAAGGTTTTTTCAAAAAAAAAAAGTTAAAGGATCAAAATAGGCATTAAACAATCACTTTAATTTCTTATACTTATTTTCTATTTTTTTCATAACGTTATTAAAATATTTAAAAGTATAAAAAAAAAACCTATAACAATCCTAATTGGCAAGACTACAAAAATAGGCAAAGAGAACTCTTTAAAGAAACCTGTTAATTAGAAAACATATTTCTTTGATTAAAAAGATCTAATATTACAAGTAATGGATCTTTTTAAAAAAAAAATTAGACTCATTGTTGCAAACAATAAATAGGTCTCTTTCATATTAAATTGGATATTTTTAAGAATATAATTATCTTATAAATTAGAGATCACTTATAAACGATGGCAAATCCCTTTTTCTATATAATTAATAGAGAGAATGTTATTATGCAAGACGCGACGTAGGTTTCTTTTGACCTCTTATTAGAGGTGATCATTGATCGGACTTTGCCTAAAAAATATCCCATTTTGGGCAAGCATTCTAGTTGAGTCAGGCCAAATTTCGAGTTGAAACAGTTGCGCCCAAACTCGCTAAATTGGTCCAAAAAGAAAGGTTTTGGGAGGAAAAATCGGGTTGAGCCAAAATTTTAACTAAAAGTCGATTAGTATTTAAAAAAGTTAAAAGTGAAAGTGTATATAAAGGAATTCTAAGAAATAATGTAATTAGAGGGGAAATGGAGGAATTAGTAAAATATGTGGAGAGAAAAATGTAATGTAGTTTATAAAGACAAGCTAAGAAATGCTAGCAATGCATTCACAATGTTAGATAATTATGATCAACAAATTTGTATTTCAACTTTTGTTCAATTTGCTTTGTATGTTTTTATTTTTTTATTACTTTGTATATGTTTTATAATTTCTAATGATATGGTGTTGAACATTATATTTATGTTGTACATAGCCCATAAGAATTTTTAGAAATGTTTGTAAATATGAAATGACAATTTTTTTTAATAAAATCCACAAATAACCTATAAGTGTCTTATGATTAGAGAAATAAATTAAATCGAGAGAATAAAATAAAAGTAAAGAAATATTAGACAACTAGATAAATGTGCTCAAATGTTCGAAAAACTGGTACTGCACATAAAAAATTATGATTGGCTATGTGTTTCCTTGACTTGAAAAATGAAAAAACACAAAAAAAAAAAAAAAAAAAAAAAAAAAAAAACCTCATACATTATTATAAAATTTAATTAAAGAAGCTTTTTCCTCTCAAAATATGATTTAAGATGCCACAACTGTAATGCAGCTACAGATAGGACAAGGATGATTGAAACTAAACTGAAGGTTGCCATCTTTGATTTGGTAGATTTATTCAATAGTTGCATTTCTTCTTCCCTAGAAACACCAAAACAAGAATGAATAGAAGAATAATTTTATGTATAATTTTTTTTAATATAATCTTTGTAAAATTAAAAAAAAAAAAATTAAGGACGATATGAGAAAATGAAAATATAAATGTTAGCTCTCACCTTTCACGAAGGTAAAACATCTCTTCATGTATGGATTTCACACTGTCGTACAATTTCCTTAGCTCAACGTCCACTAACTACAAGGGAGGTAGGGAAAGTTGTACCAAAGACAAGTAAGAGTTACATGTTGTACTTTAATTCAAAAACATTTATCAAATTCAAGTTAATTATTTAGGGATGAAGAGCAAATATACTATCTATTGTATCAGTAACCTTACGCATGCCTTTAGGACCAAAACAAAGGTTACGGGAAGTGAGTGCAACTCCATTTGAGATGCACCTCACATATCATACTTAATAGTACTAGCATTATATAGTCTCTTTATTTTTAATCAAAGCAATGTTTTTGCCCATTTTGTACGCCATTACACACTAAGTTGGTGATCCTCCAAGCCTATAGTTTTATAGTTTATATTCAACAGTTTGTCATCATTCATATTGCGATGGAAGAAGGAATTAAAAAAACTCACTAGAATAAAACAAATATGCTATGATACCATGAAATCTTATAAGATAAATACATGAAACATGTGATCCATAAGATATTATCCAACAAGGAATACAATTGTTATATAAATGACATAGTCAAAAAATTAAAGGATAAATTATGGAAATCTACATAGCTTATAAGATATGTGCTAAAAATATTTATTATTAGTTTTTCCAAAGCTACAATGACTTATAACTATCTATCACCTTGGGAAATATTATCTCACAAATTGACAACTAACATTAACATAGGCAAATAAAACATCTATAAGGCCTCTTGCACTTACAAATTTGTTTACAAGCAACTATGATAATGGTTAATACATTATGGCTTTTATTGAGTTCCAATAAATAAGTAAAGTACATCACAAATTTTTAATTAATCACGATAAAATAGTCATATACTTTCATATGTAGGTTGGATTTTTTTTTTTTTTTTTGAATAAAATTGTACACTCCCATAAGCGTCAAATCAATGGTAAAATTGTTTAAGCGTAAGATAACTATACAAGCAAACTCGTGTAGGAAAGGAAAAGGGGGAAACTTACATCAATTTGACCTTTACGTGCTACATTGTACCAATCCCTAGCATCAATCCCTGTTTTCCATTCAAAATCAATTAAAATTTTGGATGGAGGATTATTATATGGAGCCCAAAAGCAAGTCATATAATCTCCAGTTTCAGCTGCTGTGAATGCAAAGATGCCCGATTCTACTACATCTTTGTAATGGTAATGGTTGCCTCGTGGTGATGTCACCTGCATCAAATTTACCGGTGTTTTTACGTAGGTCAACGTTGAAAAATTAGCTCAACGGTGAAAATCCGACCAGATATAGTATTTTACAACATTGTACCTTTTATTAGTTAATTTCTTACAAGATTTGGTTAATTAGTTAGTTTCTCTACAAAATTTGTGTTTTATTAGGTAGTTTCTAACAAAAATTCTAATAAAAAATAAACTGAACTAAATTAAAACAAACTTTATTGAACTAAATTAAAGTGAAATGTTTAAACTAAAAAAGTTTTGCAAATAATTCAACAAAAAAGGGAGTTGTTACATAAACCCGGGTGCACGGTACATCCATGGTCATTTTGTTCGCATTTAAATGTATGTTTTTCATTTAATCATCAAATGAAGAGCAAATACTAACTTTTAGTTAATTGGGTGCATGATACATTGAAGTGTATATAAAATATTTCACAAAAAAGGCCTTATGTATAACATGATGTAATACAACATACAAGCAAGGACTATTACTCACTGAGTCACTTCATATAATTTACCTTTTTTTTATTGTCTTAATCAGACACTTCATATTTAAAAAACTATTACCATCTCTCATGTCATTTTCTTCACTTGTATGTCGAAAAAATATACTCCATGTCCTCTTACATAACTTATTTTTCAAAAAAATATCAACTCTGCTACATCAAATTAGACGGTGCACCCGATCCAGTCAATTTAGCAACCTATGTTAAAGTTAGATTATGCCTTAAATCAGTTTACCTCCTTCGAATATCTATCTCCATGATCTTGTTGTTTTTGGCCCTATTCAATTTTTTTTTTTTTTTTTTTTTTCACGGTAAGGAGAAGGGCTCTGACCGAACCTCAACCCTCACGGTTTTTTTGGTCCGGTATTTGCGGGTCAGACACTTTAAGAGTGAGAGGGAAAGGTTAAGGGATCCCCACCCTCAAAGTGCCTCTAGTGGAGATTGAACCCCCAACCTTAAGGTTAGAAGGCACAATCTTTACCACTAGAATTTTTAGTTACTATCAAGAATTAAATATATCTCACCCTGTTATCTATAACTTTATACTAAAGGCGAACTTTGAGATGACACGTGTCATCTTCTAATTAAAAATTTTCCCGCCTAAATATTTTTTTTGTCAAATATTAACTTCTATATTTGACATCAAGTCTTCCATATATGTTCTACCAATATATATTTTCATATATTTCTTACCATTTTTATTGAGTATTAAAGTAGTAATTTTCTATAAGACTTTTTTTTTTTTTTTTTGTCTAATTATATGCATATGCTATACTTTGTATTTTATTTTCAAGAATAAACCCATCAACAATTTTCGATGAAAAGAAAAATAAATGAAGTTGTAAGAATCTATACTTTTATTTATATTGCACCTAATTTTGTAAATATAATACAAATATGCAATCCTAAATAAGGAAATTTTGTCAACAACTACCAATTTAATTAAGCCTCTGTTTTGAAAACAACTACCTTTTAATTTTTTTTATTTTTTTTAAAAACAACTACCACAAACTTGTAAAAAGTTAGAGTAGCATTACCACTCTTAAATTTCCGGCTAGAATCTCCGGTGAGGGGGTCCCACTTTATACGTTTCCCTCCAATATTTGTTTCTCTCTCCTCTCTATATAACTGCTATTGTTCGTTTCACAACAGAACCCCCCTCACAAAAAATTATTGTGCAAATTTCTTCCTTTTTCACCAATTGAGCAAGAGGAATAATTCCTGGAACATTACATCAGGTAATTGTATTAAGATTTAAGTCAATTTGAGAATTTTATATGCTAATTAGGGTTTTTAATAACTCAAAATTGGGGAAATTAGGGTTTCACAATTTTTTGCTTTTTGGATAAATTGAATGGATTTATCGACATTAGGGTTTATTGATCTTTAGATGAGCCATCCTTTAGCAGCTGTCACCATCTTCCCCTTCTCCATTAAAGCTCCAGCTTTCCCAAACTAGAAACGACAACTCCTATAGTCAGTCTATTTGGTTGAAAGTTTGGACCACCGCGACAGAGAGAGAAAACTTGAGGAAGAGTGGGTCAAATTCAATGACCTAAGCTAGATTAAAGTGTGAGGTGAGAAAGTGCGAATATTCTCTGTGAATAGCAGAGGTAATTGAAAATGGAGATGAGGGAGAGTACAGGGGAGTTAGGCGGGAAATTAATGAAGAGAAGGGAAGGTAGTTGGGTCTGGAATAAATGAGGGGTAATTAGGTAATTTCAGATAGTCATATTGGAGGGAAAGATATAAAGTGGGATCCCCTCACCGGAGATTCTAGCCGGAAATTTAAGAGTGGTAGTGCTACTCTAACTTTTTACAAATTTGTGGTAGTTGTTTTTAAAAAAGAATTTTAAAAGGTAGTTGTTTTCAAAACAGAGGCTTAAATTGGTAGTTAATGACAAAATTTCCCCTAAATAATTAATCAAATTATATACTATTTAAACATAACTATGTATTTTTTGTTTAATATTATAGGATTATTAGATAAAAATACCCATTGACTATAATCATAACAATAGTACTAATAAAACAAAAATTAACTTCTCCACCATTCACTAAAAATGAAACAAATAATCAAGTAAATTATTCATGTACCTATTAAAGAGTGGGATTAAAAGTGTATCGCATGGGTATTGGCTAATAACTAAACGTTGTAATTTGTAATAAAATTTTGTAAAACCCGTGCATTGCATAAGACTTATAATAGTTTTTTGATACGAGTAAAACTTTGAACTTGTACAATATTTAGTGTTGCAATAAAGTTACCATAATTGAGGGGTAATTAGGTAAAAAAAAATAAAAATAAATTAGGAGAGAGAAAAGAAGGGGATGGTAATTACGCGAGCAGTGATGCGGTGATTGTCGGGAACAGGGTGACCATCAATGGGGCTTATAACCTTATACTTCCCTACTGTCATGGCGTCGTGCTTTATCTCTTCCGATATGCATTTTGTTGCTCCCGACGCCACCTCAAAACGCAGCGCTTCACTCACATTTGACCTCTGAACGACGCATACCATTACAAGAATTACGCTTATCAAATTGGACATTGTACTCGTTAATTTCTAGGGTTTTGTTTTTGTTTTGGAGGAAGATGATTGAATAACGGTGATTTGAAGAAATTAAGAAATTCGGAGTTAAATTCAGGTTATTCCGTGATTTAAGAAAGAATTCCAATTTTATTTGTTTATTAAGTGTTGAGTTAATAATATTTTACCATTTTTATAGGAAGTGGAGTTGAAGTTTTCATCAGTTTATGTTATAGCCGTCACCTTAAGGGCTTAAGGTTCGTTTGCTAATTTCTGTTGCTATTTAATGGTTGTAGTTTGATAATTTCGTGTTATATTAGTATAATTTTAATTTTTTAATTATTATTGATGATTGGCGCAATTTGCGTGATTTAACTTTGATTTCATGGTGTTTCTCTTAAGAAACTGGGGAGACTTTTGAGGGAGATGGAAAAAAAATTAGGAAAGTGTGAATGTTGACCCCACTTAACGGAAATTTGGATGGAATACGGCCGTTAAATTACAATATCGAGATTCAAGGTTGGCCTAGTTGGTTGGAAGCCCTCCATCCACCCCCGTGAGAGGGAATTGATTCTCATCCTAAGCAAGTGGGATCCCTTAATTTCTCGTATGTCAGAATAGCTAGTTGTTCATGAAAAAGTTGATTGTATTTGTCTTCTGATGGATATATCATACTTACGTTATGAGTACCATTTTATTTTAATACCCTTAATGTTGCATAAGGTTGACATGAGTGTGGTTAATTTTATGTTCTTGTTTCTGTTGTTGGTGATCTAGGTTGTGTGGTTGGTTATTGGCTTGTTGCCTCCCTTGTAAAATTGACTTTCTCATTTTATTTTGAGGCTACAACACTGAATTTCTCATTTTAGTTTCAGATCTTAGAAAGGTAAAATTGAAGTAAAGTTGGTTTGGGTTCCCTAGAAACATGAGAAAGTTAATGCATGAAAAAATTGATAAAATATCCTTCAGAGTACTAATGTGAATTGGAACCTATCAAGCAATGTAAGTTTATTATACCAAGTACCGTGATCAATAAAAATAAATTGAAAATTACATCAAGAATAACATGTCACTGAGTAGTAAGCGGTATCCATGTTCTCTGTTGCTGAAACATGTAGCTAAGTTATTTCTCTTTCACCGTGTATATGTCAAGGGACATGCCCGGTACCATCTTTTGTTGGGGGGGGGGGGGGAAGGGGGGAGGCTTATTCATAGATAGGTCATCTTGTAATATGAGCAATGAAAGAATCCATTTCTAACTGAGCAGCCCCACCTTTAGCAAGTGATTCTTGAACAGCTTCACCCAGTTCTGCAGCTCTTTTCCTCATTTCTTCTCCTTCCTTCGTAACCATCAATGTTTTGACTGCATTCTCTATAGTGGTTGATGTTACTAACTGAGCACGTTGTGCCCAATCCCTCACTAATGTACCTGCTTTTAAAACATCTGTCACCAATAGGGCGTTCCTTGGCTGCTCTGAATGCATAGGCCATGCTGCGATGGGCACCCCCATGCTGATACTCTCAATGATTGAGTTCCACCCGCAGTGGCTCATAAATCCACCTGTTGACGGATGGGCTAGAATTTCTAGCTGGGGTGCCCAGTCTCTTACCACAATTCCTCTGTTTTTCATTCTCTCTTCAAATCCTTCGGGTAGTTGAGGCCTCCTTATTTCACCTTCTGCAAAGATATTACCTGTATCTGAGTTTCTAAGTACCCAAACAAACTTCTGCCAGCTTCTTTCCAACCCTATTGCCAATTCCATGATTTGCTCATAGCTCAGTGATGTTGATGATCCAAAAGATATGTATATCACAGAATCTTTCTCTTGTTCATCCAGCCATTCTAAGCATTGATGTCTCTGTGATCCACTATTGTTTTTCAATTCCACTGGATTAAAAGGTCCAAGTACAAAATGTTTTGTCTCAGAATTTGCTGATAACTTCTCCAACAGTTTGACATATCTGCCTTCTATTGGTCTTGAAGTGTTGTAGATCTTTCCGGACTCTATTCCTAAATATTTGAATTGATTAGCAACAAAGCTATCAATCTCTGGTGGAGTGCACCCTTCATTGGAGGGAATGCAATTTGGGATATCTTCTAAATCTAGCTGAAATGGTTTGTCAGCTATGCTTTCCCAGACACCTAAGAAATAGGTAAAAGCAGAAATGGGAAGCACACTGTAGGATTCAGCATTTGGGATGAGTTTTACATCTTGGACCACAGAAGCTATTATGATATCATGAATAACAATGACTCTCCTGAACAAAGTTGAGAGTTGCTGTAAGAGTTGAGAAACAGGTTCATAAAGATGCGTAGCAGCTTCAAAAAGTGGATAAAAGTGTGTTGGAAAAGGAATAGAGTGGCCGATGTTTGTAGGAACCGGAGGTGAGGTATCATAAGGAGGGAGTTGGAAGTCATGGAAAGTGATTTTAGCTAAACTTTCTTTGTCCCAACCATGGAGACGGAGCTTTGCTTGGCGATTGTGGCTTGCCGATCCAGCAAAGTGAACTTGTATTCCATAGGAGGTAATGACTTGAGAGAGATGAAGGAGTTGATTGAGATGGCTTTGCGCTGGAAGTGGTACCATAACCACCGCAACTTGAGAAAGTTGTTTAGGGTTATTTTGTTTATCCATTTTGGCTCAAATTTTGGGTGGCTGAACTTGGAGCTGGAGGAATGTCCTTTTATATTGTTTACAACTTGGACAGCACACAAAGTGGTTTGTCTTGATGTGTTCAACAGCAGCCAGCAATTACGCAGTCTTAATTTAATGAGTCAAAAATGGTGGTAAGAAGGTTTAACTTTGTTTTTTTTGTTTTTTTTTTTTTTTTTTTTTTTTTTTTATGTTGGTAGTCATTATCATAATTCATACTTATGAAGATAGTTGCTTTCTATTTGTTTAAATGTCTCACCAATTTAGACGTCTTCTTTAAATGTGCTAATTTAAAGTATTAATCCTAATATGAAAGAATTCACCAATTATTGAAACTTGATTGATTAATAAATTATTTATCTCTGGTAATCATCCATTAATTATACAAGTGAATTTGTATGTGCTTTTGTTTCAAGTGGCCAATTAAAGTAAAATTTCTACACATTAGGTTTCTGTGTCGGTTAGTGGCTATTGTCTTTGTTTTTGATAGTATCTTTTCGATTTTTCATTGAACAAAACTTGATGCTCAGAAGGAAGATTTTTTGGGTTTATAAAATATATAATGGAATATGATATATACTGATAGAGATGTATATAATGAGCTGAAAGTGGGAATATCAAGTAAAAATCAAACATTAATTACACCAATTGATGTGTGATTGTCACATATGTCTAAACTAATTCCAATTAGGACATGTTATACCCAACTATAATTATAATATACTAAAGTTTTATAATATATGGTTGATGTCGATCTGCAGTAAATAGTTTTATAATCTATTTTGTTTTCGATTAGTTTATCATCTTGTTTTATAAACTTCTTATAAACCTTGGAGCTAAGTCTAATATGGTAGTTGGGGTTGAATAAAAAGTTGGGTCTTAGGCTTCGATCTATATGTGGTTGTTTAAGTGCTGACATTTCTCGCTTGGCCATGTTACCTTGTCTGCTACTCGGCTGGGATTGGGTTCTTAATATTGTATTACATGCTAGCTGCCCTTGCATGTGCCGGAGGTTATCAACATACCCCCTTCCATTTCAAATAAATGCATCAATAAGTACTATTTCAATGCTTCAATATAATTTTTTTAGTAATGTATATAAACAAATTAACAAATCCTATCTCCTTTCGATGACTGACATAGTCAAACTTGGCATGCATGTCAACACATTAGTTTGTTCTTTAATATACTTCGTATATAATTGATTATTAAAAGTATTAAAAAAAAAACCTTCGTCAAAACTAGTATATAAATAATGCAAAAAGTCAAAATGCGAATATTATTTTTAAAGCTGTTATAGATTCATCTTATTGCATAACATATCAACTTTTCATAATTTTTACTAATAGATAACTACAAACATTAATGATCAATCTTGTGCATTAGCAAGTGTGTTAGTTAAACGGATGCATTTGTTTTGGAATGGAGGAAATATATGCATTGTGATAAGACGAAGAGGATTTCTTACTGGTTTTTTTTTTTTGGTGTTTAGAGAGCCATAAGGGCAGGTGATGAGATCCCAAGATCAAGGGGAGCTCTAACCACTTGAGCTATCCCTCACTCTCTTATTGGTTGCTTCTCAATTATCAGTATTCTAGTGGAACACAATATTTTTGGGATGTCGTGTCTTGTGGAATACTTTTACTTAGCAATATTTTTGGGATGGAGTGTCTAGTGGAGTAATACTTTTGAATTTGATTCAGCTCTCATTTTGAAAACAGTTGCTGCATTTTGCTTGTTAGATGTCAGGTTCCTTAGAAGAAATCAAACATCAAGAGTAAAGCTTTTAATCTAGAGAAAGGTGAATATGCAGTTATGTTTCAGTGTTGGAAGGAATACTATCAGACATAAAAGAGATAGGACTAGATATGATGAACAGACTTAACAAAGTCTGTTTGATTGCTTACAAGTTACAACAGTAAACATTTGCAAATCTGGTGAATTTCTGAAAAATGAAATTTAGGAAGACATGGCACAAATGCACAATTATCTCATAGAGACAGCCCAATCGACTAAGTGCTGCAGTAAAACTATGAAAAGATCCTCTGTAATTGAGAATCCTGGAGTGAACAAATCAGTTAATGACACTCATCTTGTGATATGGGATATGAAGGAGTCCATTTCTAACCGAGAAGCACCATCTTTAGCAACTGATGCTCGAACAGCATCACCTAGTTCTGCTGCCCTTTTCCGCATTTCCTCTCCTTCCTTTGATGCCATCAATGTTCTCAACACGTTGGCTATAGTACTGAATGGCACCAGCTCAGCACGGCGTGTCCAATCCCTCACCAGTATACCTATTCTTAGAACATCTGTCATCAAAAAGGCATTCCTTGGTTGGTCGGAATGCATAGGCCATGCCGCGACTGGCACTCCCATGCTGATGCACTCCATGGATGAGTTCCACCCACAATGACTCATGAACCCACCTGTTGACGGATGTGCTAAAATCTCTAGCTGGGGTGCCCAGTCTTTTACTACAATTCCTCTGTCTTTCACACTATCTTCATACCCTTCAGGCAGCTGAGGCTTCCCAACTTCACCACCTGTAAAAATATCACCAGTGTCTGCCCTTCTAAGCACCCATAGGAACTTTTGTCCGCTTCTTTCCAATCCTAATGCCAACTCCATAATCTGCTCATCTGTCATTGATGTTGTCGATCCAAAAGAGACGTATATCACCGAAGCTGTCTCCTGTTTGTCTAGCCATTCCAGGCATATATGTCTATTTTTTCCGTTTTTGCTTTTCATTTGCACTGGATTCAAAGGTCCTATTGCAAAGTGCTTTATCTTATTATTTGTTGATAGCTTCTCCATAAGTTGGATGTATTTACTTTCTACCACCTTAGATGTGTTGTAGAGTCTTCCTGACTCTAATCCTAACATTTTTCTTTGATAGATCATTATGTTAAAAATCTCAGGTGTGAAGCACCCGTCATTGGAGGGAAGAAATTTCGGATTATCTGAATCTAGGGAAAAAGGTTTCTGCTCTATTTTTTCCCAAGAATTGAAGAAAAAAGTAAACGCTGATATAGAAATGAAGGCGTAGGTTTCAGCATTTGGGACGGATTTTACGTCTTGGACCACAGAAGCCATCAAACTATCATGAATCACAACAACTCTCCTAAACTTGCTTTTAAGTTGCTGTAAGAGCTCGCAAACAGGTTGACGTAGATGTACAGAAGCATCGAAAAGTGGTTGCAGGTGCCTAGGAAAATGGTTGGAGTTGTCCGGGTTGGGAGGAAGGGAGTTGTAAGCCGGGAGTTGAAGGTCATGGAAATGGATTTTGGTCAAACTTTCCGCGTCCCAACCATGGATGCGGAGTTTGGCTTGTCGGTTATGGGTGGAGGATCCTGCGTAGTGTACTGGTAATCCGTAAGAGGTTACGAGGTGAGAGAGGTGGAGGAGTTGGTTGAGATGGCCCTGTGCCGGAAAGGGTACCATGACAACCACCACTTCGGCTAGTGGGTGATCGAGGCAACTTTGGTCCCTGTCTTCTCGGCCTTCCATTTTCGGGTGAGATTGCTGGAACATTACAAGATTATTTTGTGTTATTGTTGGCTGTTTATGCTGCCTTACATATATTGTGAGATTGCTGGAACTTTGCAAGATTGTAGTTTGTTTTATTTTTCCACTGCATTAGTCGATAATGACAACCACCAGATGATCTCCACAAATCTTTGTACAGTAGTATTCAAAACAAAGTAGGACTGAAACTCTACATGTTCTCTCATTTGCTCCTCAAGTTGTGTGTTTCCTTTTCTCACTCAATCAACTAGTAAACGACGAACGTGACATCTTTTACTTCCCCCCCTTTTTTTATTGAAAAAACTTGCAACATTTCTGCAATGTATTGTACACTATTTACACATCAGTATCACTTTACTTCAGTTACATTTTTGTGGTTACTATGACAAAATCATAGTCATGTATTATGTTGGATCCATCTCAACTCTCAACGCGTACTTTATTAAAATTTAATTTTTTATAAAGATTTTAATGATCGTAGTTACCCATTGACAAATGGGAAAGAAATGTTGCACAGAAAAAAAAAAAAACAGTGGAAATACATACTTGTATATAATAAGGTGGAAGTCACTGTAAGTAATTTACTCCGTAGTTGAGCGATGTCCAATTTGATTCATATATAGTTCTTACTTCTCAAGTTCTGAGTTCTCATTCACTACCTACTACCTAGTACCTCCACTTTATAAAAAATATAAATAAGTATTTCAAAGTAAGCTAGAACTAGGCAAATTTTTCTTTCTTTTTTTTTTTTTCTTTTTTTTTTTAAATTGAGCTTTAAATTTGTGGAGCTTAAATTACAGCATACTCCCTCCGTTTTTAAATACTTGCTTCATTTCTCTTAGACACGTATGCCGATACTAATCTTTAATTAATAATATCTTTAATTATTAATGAGTATAAATTCTAAGAATTGAAAATTAATAATATATTCATTTCCATGTTTGACAATTACATCTTGCACATTAACCCTATCCCCATCATCAATCCCAAGGGGAGCCTTATAATAATCAACAAAAGCATCTGCAATCCTCTCTGGATTATCACACCAATTCCCAGCCCTGTCAGTAATTGCAATCACTCTTGATTTATACTGCTTTCGCTTCACGAAATTGTGAAAAAACTTAATATTATTGTCACCCCCCACCTTAAGCCAATTAATCTTAGCTTTTTGGGTGAGAAAAGAAAAATACTGCTTTTTGACCAGCTTGAAATCCTGTAACAACTGCCTCTCAGTCTATTGAGCATTTTCATTTTGCTGATCATTCTGTATTACAAGTTGCACATCCTCAATATCCTACTTAAGCTTTAGATATCTAAGCTCAATTTCTGTACAAGCCTTTTTATGCGATTTTTTCAATTCTGCTTTCAAAATTTTAAGCTTTTTCACCACCCTATACATATGAGCACCATGAATATTACTATCCCAAGCTTGCTGAACAGTTGGCAGGAAATCTGGGTGCATAGACCTCATATCCAGGTATTTAAAGCTACCTCTCAGCATCTGACCAGAACTATCAAGCTGAATAATGGCCGGGCTATGGTCAAACCAAGATCCAGGCATGTAATTCACATAAGAATCAGGCAAAATATTAACCCAATTCTCATTCACCAAAGCTCTATCAATCCTGCTTACTACTCTATGCCCACCATCTTGCTTATTATTCTAAGTGAAGGAGCATCCTACTTTCTTCATGTCATAAATCTCACAATTAAAGTGAACAAGCTCAGAGTGAGAGATAGGATTCCTAATTCTATCTTTATAATTCAAAGGACAATTAAAGTCCCCAGAAACCATCCAAGTCCCATTCATGCCTGACCCAATTCTGCAACGTCGGACCCTTCACCCAACAATTTTGAAGGACCGATTTGGGATTGATAGAAGAAAACCACCGTAAAGTGGGATTATTCCAGAATAATCGAAAGTTGGGATATTTAAAAATGAAACGGTCAAAGTCGGGATTGTTAAACCAATTAAATATATATCGTGACGAATCTCATAATATCTCACATGACTATATTCTTTATTAAGTATAAATCACAAAACACAGACAAAGAAAAATGTATAAATAAAGCAAGTTAAAACGTATCAACTAAATAATTAATTTAAGGTAGTATGGGCACCAACAGAATGATAAAAAAAAAACCCCTAAAAAATTCTTTGTTTTCTCTCTTCAAACCTAGCCACCATAATAAAACTTAGGGGCTGCCATCGATTTTATCGATGGTAAGACCCAAATAATTTATTGTTTTTAGCCAATAAAGATCACCAACAATATGATGATTGTAGTCAATCCCTCCATGTAGGGTTTAGTTGGTTCCCTATATAATATCTCGTATTTTTTAATACGTATTTTAATTTAAATAAGTATTTCTTAAAGTATTTAAATAATTCAAAATTTTTGAATTTTTTTATGGTGTTTTCATTAATTTTAAAAGAATTATTTTAATTAAAAATTTATTTTTAATTATATAATAATCTTGAAAATATTTTATTTCATGATTTGGAAATATTGGGGCATATTGTTTTATAAAAAGATCATTTTTAAAGTCAATGGTATTAAAGGAAAGTCAAAATACTAGTTTATCTAGGAAAAAGATCATTAAGGGTAGAAAAGGAATTTTAAGTAGGAGAGTTTTTGTGATGATTTTAGGATGTTTAATGATAAGAATTTTGTATATAAATTTTCAGATTTAGTTTTGAATTAAAAAGCCCCGAATTGAAAACCCTAGGTTTCTAAATTAATGTATATTGATGAAAATTGATTGTAAGTGATTTAAACTATTAAATTAGATGTTTTTAAACATAATTACAATAATTTTTCATGGTTTAATAAAGTTGGAATTTTTATATAAAGACTATAATTATGTTTCTTGAAAGGATTTTTAATTACCCATTAATTGGGAATAAAAGTAAGGGTTTTAAATAAAATTTTAGCTTATTTTAGAGGGTTACTTCCAAGTGAGTGATTTTATTTAGTCGTGACTATTTTGAGATCATATTCAAGGTACGTTCGGGTACTTGGTAACTACTTGAATATGTAGAAGCATGCTAGACTTTGTTTAATTAATTCCAAATAGTATCATGATAGGTGATGATTGAAATTTGTTGATTGGATTGATGATGGTAAATGATTTGTGATGTATGAATTATTTATGGTGAATTGCTGATTGGAATTAATTGTATCGGCATGTTGATTATGAACCACACTTTTATTATTGGCATGGTAGAGAGCATGTTTAATTAAACTAAATGTTTAATTTGGTTTGGAATATGAAAATGAAAGTTTATTATGGTTCATATAATTTTTAGGCCAAATTAGAATATAACACCTGCTAAAGACCCCGATTTTGATAATAACACCAATTAAAAAAAAAGTTTTATTACAACACCTCCAAAAATCCCAAAAATTTAGTTTCACCACCCACTAACGGACTTTTGGATGGAAACTGTTAGTGGGGCCCGCCATGTACACGTGTCAGCTGTATATTGTTTTAAAAAAAAAGAAATTTTTAAAAAAAAAAACTCTAACCCCCTAACCCAGCCAGCCCCACCACCAGCACCACCTGCTTAGCCAAGCCAGCCGCCGGAACCCTTCTAACACCCAACCAACCCCAGAAACCTCCTCCCCTAACACCGAAAACTCCTTCCCTAATGCCGGCACTGCCCGATATCCCTTCCCCTAACACCACCACCGCCCTAAACCCCCTCCCCTAACACCGACAACCCCCAAACCTCCTCCATAGAGGTGATCATTGGGCGGGCCGAGCCGGAGCTAAAAAAGTATGCACATTTCTCAGGTCGGGCCAAGCTTCGGGCCGGATTTTTTGTGCCCAAACCCGCCCAAAATGGTCGGGCCGTGCGGGCTTTTCGGGCTGGACCTAAAAAATAAACTATATATGTATAAAAACGGATTACCAAACCCATCCAAAAAAAATAAAAATTTCGGGCCGGGTCGGGCCCAACCCAATTTCGGATCGGAAAATACTGCCCAAAACCCGCCCAAAATCTGGCCGGGTCGGGACGGGCCTACGGACCGGGCCACACTTGATCAGCTCTACTCCTCCACTAACACCGGCATTCCCCTAAACATCCTCCCCTAACACCGAAAACCCTCGAAACCTCCTCCCCTAACACCGGCATTTAAATCTTGTATTGGAATTTAGATCTCTTAGGGGATAATTGTAAATGCCGAATATCTATTACTTCGTATTTATAACTAATACTAAAGTAATCACCGCTGACATCACCACTGCAATCTGTCAGCTTCTTATTAAAGAAATTCCCTCTAAAATTATATATGACATCATCCTTTTTATTTATTTTTTCTCCATTTCAAGATAAACCTAATGCTTAAAAAAGGTAGATTAGTTTTCCTAAAAACTTTTTTATGACTAAATTTACTAACTACAAAATTTCCTATGGAGGTAAAAAAAAAAAAATGGTGGTTGGTCTCTTTTGTTTTTCTTCTTTCCTCCTATATACTACATTTTTCTTCCCACAACGTTTTATCAGTGATGATATGAGTTTGAATATTCTAATTTTTTTTTATAATTATACAAATACTAGTAGACTGATATAATGCTAACATTTCATATATTTTATTTTTATTATGAAGTTAATTAGAATATTTAGCATTTTAATATCTAATAAGAGAGATCATTATTTATTATGTTTATTCTTAAATTATTTATATAGCGCACATAAGAGCAAATGTTTTATTGTTAAAATCGTGCTTCGCACGGGATTAACCTAGTTATTTAATGAAATCATCCTTTCATATCCCATTAAAAAAAAAGCTAATATGTTAAAAAAAAAATGATAATTAAAAGGTAGTATTAAATTGCAATAATTTGGCAATATTTTAGAGACAGTCCAAATCAAATACTGGACACGAACTAACCGGATCTCAGTCCAATAACTCCACCTTGTCCTTTGGGCACATTATTATATTTTCTGCACTTTTCGTAACTTTCAATGACAAGTCTTTAAGTTTCCGGTAATCTCTCCTTTAATTTATTGCAATTTCTTGAACTTTCATAGATTTTCTTATTTTATTTGGTTTTCCATATTTATTCAATTATTATTAAAATAATCTGAGACTAGGAGTTGTTTGAGTTTATAATTTTGAGAATTTCATAAGATAATTAAATTACAGAATTCAACTGCCTGAATTAATAATTTTGAAGAAATTGTTAAGAAATCATTCATACAAGAATTTGATGATGTAGGTATACATCAATTACTGATTCACTATGTATTGAATTGAAGAGTAATTTAGTAATGGGACAAGATTAAGTTAATTGGGCGTTTTTCGATGATAACATGGTATTGCATGAACAATTATTGAGATTATAGCAACGGAGATGTGTTTGAGCAGTTTGTTGTTATTTCCTGTATAAATTCATCCATCATTTATTGTGCTTGAATGCTTGATGTAGTTATCGAAGGTAAAGGTAAGATTTTAGACTAATACAAGTAATAATAAAGTAAATAAACCGTGTTGTCAAATTTGACGATTTTTTGTTGTGAAAGAATGTTTTTGAGCAATGTATAATGTGTAACGAAGATGTGCTAGTTAGGAGTTACTAAGCTGTCTGATATAGACCACATGGTGATTGTTTTGGTGCGGAAACGCGAATCAGGAAGTTGTTCCTATGTCTAATAGGGTGTAAACAGCTTAGCACGTGTCTTTGTTGTTGAGAGTTCTAATAGTTAATTGTTGCTTGTACCTCAGAATGAAGATCAGCTAAAATCTTCGATTTTGTGACAAAATTGCAGTTTAGCCAGTCGCAATTATGTTACTTGACCTTCATCTAACATCAAGTAGTAATTGTTATTTTTGGGCATTTAGTAAATTCCATTAAAAACCAATTATTATATGAGAATCTCACTTATAGCATCTCTCTCAATTCATTAGAAGTGGAGATACCTACAATTGACAGCCTACGGGGCACCTTATTTTCTTGAATGATAGTTTAGGAGGTTTGCATTTGTTACTAAACTCCTTTCATTTCTGTAAAGCCAAATTGTAATATTGCCTCGGAAGAAACATGCTGTACAATTGCTGCTTCCTGCCCTTCTTGATGATATTGACAGCTAGTGATACTTCATGATCTAAGTCAGTAGCTATTCTTATACAGGTGCGCAAGCGTTACATCATTTGCTTGTTTCTGATACCAGACACTCTGACATGACTATGGAGGGCCCTTGACAATTGGAGATGAAAATGCAACATCTTCATGGAATGGTTGAGTATGACACTTGGACATGTTTCAGTGCTCTACATTTGGTAGGTAAGTCTGAGTAACAAATTGTAGCAGAAAGATAAGTAAGCTCTCTACTCACGTTATTTACCATAATTGTTTTTGAAGTTTTATTTTGTGATTTCTATTCCTGAAAGAATGATGTTGTTGGGTTGTTAACTTTGTGGAAACATAAGTAAATTCTTATTGATCTATTGACATGTTCGCTTCCCTACAATCGCAAACTGGAACTAGGCAGCTTGCCAGAGTGGGGGATGCACGCACATGGGAATTCCATGTGCAAAGGTGTCAGTTGTAAAATACAAAGAATATTTTTAGTGTTGTTTCTGACCTATTTTCTGGTCATTTGAAGTCTATGTCAATTAGGCTCTTTTATTCCTATTAGACCTTCTTAGACTTGAATATGCCAGTAGTACAATTGCAGTTTTGTGCAAGATGAATATGCAACTTATGCTCTGGGCCTTTGGTGCATTAATGTGACCAGTGTTCAATACACAACAAGACCATAATACAGAAAGAAACAATGCTTATAGGCTGCTTACCCTACTTGTGCCTTTGAGCTGTGAAAAAAAATTTCATCTGCTAATATGAGCAATGAAAGAATCCATTTCCAAGTGAGAACTTCCATCATCTGCTACTGAGGCTCGAACAGCTCTGCCTAGTTCTGCTGCCCTTTCCCTCATCACTTTTCCTTCTTCCGATTTCATCAATTTTCTTACTGTGTTCTCAACTGCAGTTGATGTTACCAGCTCAGCTCTGTGTTCCCAAGCCCTAATTAACAAACCAATCCGTAGGACTTGTGTTATCAAAATGCTGTTTTTGGGTTGGTCAGAATGCATAGGCCATGCTACTATTGGCACTCCCATGGTGATGCTCTCCAAGCATGAGTTCCACCCACAGTGACTCAGGAATCCACCCGTTGCTGGATGGGCTAGAATCTCAAGCTGAGGTGCCCAGCCTCTCACAATAATTCCCCTATCTATCACTCTTTCTTCATATCCTTCTGGCAGCTGAAGAGTTTTTGCCTCATCTTCTTCAAATAAATCGCCTTTATCAGCATCTCTAAGAACCCATATAAACTTTTGCCCACTTCTTTCCAATCCTATTGCCAACTCTTTGACCTGCTCATCATCCGTAGATGTTACTGTTCCAAAAGAAACATATACCACAGATTCTATCTCCTGTTTGTCTAGCCACTCAAGGCATCCAGGACTATAAGTGTTCGTTTTTCCTTTTGCTTCCACCGGATTGAAAGGTCCAATAGAAAACAGTTTCTTGTTAACATTCGTTGATAGTTTTGACAATAGTTCCATGTATCTACCTTCTATCAATCTGCATGTATTAAAAAGTCTTCCAGATTCAAATTCCAAAAGCTTGTGTTGATTTATTATAAATTTCTCAAACTCTGGTGTGAAGCTCCCTTCTCTAGAAGGGATGTATCTTGGAACATCAGAATCTAATTCAAAACGTTTTTCTATAATGGACTCCCATTTATTAAAGAAGATGATAAAGGCAGATACCGATAGAAAAGTATAAGATTCTGCATTTGGGATCAATTTTACGTCTTGCACTACTGAGGCCATCAGGTTATCATTGATGATAACAATTCTCCTAAAATTAGATGAAAGTTCTTGTAAAAGTTGAAACACAGGTTGACGGAGATGTGAAGAAGCATCAGAAAGTGGTTGGAGATGCTCTGGAAATTTAATCCAGGCATTGGTGTTAGGGGAAAATGAGCAGAGAGTAGGAAGTTGGAAGTCATGGAAATAGATGTTACCTGAACTTTCCAAGTCCCAACCATGGACACGGAGCTTCGCTTGGCGATTGTGCACAGTTGATCCAGCAAAGTGAACCGGTATGCCATAGGAGGCTATAAGACGAGAGAGGTGGAGGAGCTGATTGATATGGCCATGGGCTGGGAAGGGAACCATCACCACAACTATTTGAGGTTGTTTAAGGCCATTTTGACAGCATTTTTGGCTTTCCATTTTGCATAAATTTCAGGATGTCTTTGGATGGATCTTGATAGGCATTAAAACCTTAAAGATATAGGGGGGAAAAAAATCCTTTGATTTAATATATGTTTGTTTATATATTTTGGGGACGGGACCTCATATAGCTTATTTAAAAATGCTTGTTCCACTAGTCTATTGGGATGAAAACAAGGTAAAGTTTCTCTCCTTAACATGTGGTATCTGGTATGTGATATATTGTGTCTGCATGTGTATGTGTTCGCGTGCAGATTTTTTTTTCTTCTTTTTATTATTTATTTTTTTATTTTTTATTATATTATTTATTTTTTCATTCTTTTTAGGTACTAAGGTTATATGGAAAAAAGTCTGGTTTCTTGTGAAGTATAAAAGTATCATAAGATTATTATTCCATTTTGGAATCTTTGGTATTCCTTGTTGAAGTTGACCCTTTTTGTGTCGATTTGTTCTGAATTTATCTTATTTTTGACATATTGTGGGTAAGATGAGGATTGAAGATACAATTATTATGTGGTCCAATGCCTTAACAAGGAGAAATCTTATTTTCTGATATCTGAATTACAAAGCAGTTATAGTCCATGACAACTTTTAGGTTATGAAGATAATGGAGACACAAGGAGACCATTATATTGACTATTGAGGGTATAACAAATAGATTGGGTATTCCTGGAATGATATATTGAAATACACTTGTTAGCTCTGTAGAAAGGGCAGCCAAACTTTCTGACTTGTGGAGGATGAATTTTTCATGCTTTCGATTTGGATTGTGTTTTGTTTCTATTGTGATTGATTTGACCATTCAAATGCAACTTAAAACGACAGAAGTATGGTAACTTGGAACCAAATTAACAAGTATTTACATACATAAACAGAACTTTATATGATAGTGCTGCATATAATTGCTTTTCATCATATCAAATTATGGTAGGGATCATCATTGTCTATAGGCTTTCTCAAGTATATATCTTAGCACAGGCAATCTTAATCACCAGAACTAGCAAGGGAGTCCATACTAGGAAAGTGATCAAAATAAAAAAAATTAGGCTTGTGATCTATTTCTTAATAGAGAATTAACTGAATAGATCTCGTATCATCCCAAGGGAGACTCAGAAGGTTGTTGCAGGTTGCTTTGTAATTGTAATAGCAGAAAGGCTCAAAGGCCTGACTATTGGTCATTTCTTAGTACTCACATCTCCTTGAATTTCAAGATTGAATTCATACCTGAGACTAATGATTACTTGTTTTTGTATCATACAAACTTATACATCAGTAAGTCAAGATCCTAGCTAGGCAAAGTTCATGTATTATTTCAGTACATATCACTGATTGAGTTGCCCGCGATCATACTTTCAATTATGTTTCCAGCTATCCAAGATTTTCTTAGGCTGTATCCTCTTTTTTACATCATTATCTGGTTATGTGAGCGATGAAAGAATCCATTTCTAGGTGAGAAGATCCACCTGCAGAAGTTGATCCTCGAATAATGCCTCTGAGCTCTGCAGCTTGTTTCCTCATCTCCTCACCTTCCTCTGATATCATTAATCTTCTCACTGCATTTTCTATTGTAGTTGATGTTACAAGCTCATTTCTTTGTGCCCAATCTCTGACTTCTATACCAAATTTTAGTACTTGTGTTACCAAAATTGTGTTCCTTGGCTGATCAGAATGCATTGGCCATGCTATAATTGGCACTCCCATGCTGATGCTCTCCATGCATGAGTTCCAGCCACAGTGACTCATGAATCCTCCTGTTGATGGGTGCGCTAGAACTTCAAGCTGAGGTGCCCAGTCTCTCACCACCATTCCCCTGTCCTGTATTCTGCTTTCATAACCTTCTGGTAGTTGAGGCCTTTTCACATCACCTTCTGCAGAAAGTTCTACTCCATCAGCACTTCTAACAACCCATAAAAACTTTTGCCTACTTTTTTCCAACTCAACTGCCAACTCACTAATCTGCTCCTCTGACATTGATGTTGATGTTCCAAAAGAAATGTATATTACAGAATCCTTCTCTTGTTTGTCCAGCCACCTGAGACATTGATGTCGGTTGTAAGTGCATCTACCCTTTACTTCTACTGGATTTAAAGGTCCGATCGCAAAAAGCTTCTTGTTAGCATTTGTGGGTAGCTTTTCCAGTAAGTCCATATATCTACCTTCTATTGGTCTGCATGTGTTGTAGATTCTTCCACTCTCGAAGTTCAATACTTTGTATTGCTTTGCTGCATAGTCTGCAAACTCTGGCGTAAAGCACCCTTCACTCGAGGGAATGTTATTTGGGATATCAGAATCTAGCTGAAATGGTTTGGTAGTTATCGACTCCCAAATGTAGAAAAAGATGGCGAAGGCAGAGACACTATGGAGGGCATATGACTCAGCATTTGGGATTAATTTCACATCTTGAACAACTGTAGCAATTAAGGTATCATGAATAATGATGATTCTCCTAAACTTAATTGAGAGCTCTTGTAGAAGTTGGAATGCAGGTTGACGGAGATGAGAGGAAGCATCAAAAAGTGGTTGGAGATGCCCAGGGAATGTGGTGTGGGGATCGAATTTGGGAGGAACTGAGATTAAAGGAGGGAGCTGCAAGTCATGAAAGTGAATTTTGCTTGTATTTTCAGGGTCCAAACCGTGGAGGCGCCGTTTTGCTTGATGATTGTGTGTTGTGGATCCAATAAAATAAACTGGTATACCATATGAGGCTATGAGGTTGGATAGATGGAGAGTTTCATTGAGATGGCCTTGCATTGGGAATGGTACCATGGTCCATGACTACTGCAACTGAAGGATGTTTGAGGCTTTTTTGTTGATCATTTTAATTGTAAATTTGGTGCGCCATTTTGAGTCGGTTCTTAGGCTGGAATTGTAGCTATATGAATATGGACAGCCTCCAGCCCTTCACATTATATAAACTTACCTAGACAAGCGGCGTATGCACAACTTGTGTAGGACATGCTTTTGGGTGAAATAAAATTTTTGTTTATTGCAATCTAGAGTTGATAATTGTGCATTGTTAGTTTTGTATTGCTTTTTATTGTTTCTAATTGGGAGCACCTTTTTTGCTCGTTTTTTTTTAAATGCTCATCACTTGCCTATTTTGGGAATGGGTGTATGGTGTACCTACCTATTAACTTTCTAGATGGAATGTGGAGACTGGATTTCATGTATCTTAAATAATTAGGCTTTTGTGTGTAAGGTTTAGCACTATTAGGCTTATGATTAGATTAAATTATCTTATAGTGGCAAATAAAACTAGATTAGTGCTTTCGTGTTCTCTTTAGTCATTGACCAAGTAGCAAGATATATTATAGTCCTAATCATGATTAAATGTATAGTGCTTTCGTGTTCTCTTGCAGTTCTTGTATCTTGTATTTTATAATGCTCAATTATTTGTCACTTAGAATATAATAAACGATAGTCCTAATCATGATTGAATGTATAGTTTCCTTAATTATTGATTATTATTACACCAAAGTGCTACCCATGAGCAAAGTTGGAAGATACCTATCTAATGCTCCAGTGGTATACAAGTTGGTAAATCTTATCTTTTTTTGTTAACAGATTCAAGTCTTGGTTTAAAGAACTAGGTTTTCTTAGAAACGACCATTGGATTTTTGTAATTTTGAAAATCAGGTTAGGAAGTCTTGACTAGTTCCTAAAGGAGTAGCTACCGATCTCATTGCTTTGGATGATATACACAACATCGCTGTTTTGAACTTGAGAGACAAAACATTTGACTCTGTAGTTATTTTCAAGATCTGTCACTGAACATAAAGGATCCCTACAAACCATATGAAGTTGGGTGCATCACTAGCTGTCTATCTTCCTGAAAACTATGAAGCATCTCGAAATCATTTTGATGTGATTGAAGAGTAAGAAAAACTGTCATTTGATGATTAGCAGTGACATTGAGGATTGTAACATCTTGTAATAAGGTCTTATATCTATTTCATTTTATTGTTGGTTAGTATTAAGACACTACTAAAGTTATACTCAATCAAGGAATATGCTTAGTTTTATGTTGCATTGTTGCTTGTTTATTGAATGTGAATGCCAAAAAAAATTACAGCCGCTGCACCGATAAGATATACTTATATTCGTTAGCTACAATTGTTATATAATTTATATCGTTTGCTTCCACATTAGTTAAGCTGCAATTTGAACAGTCGTTTCTCTCAAGTGATTGATTTCCAACTGCTATTCTGTTGTAGTGTTGTGCTATATTCTATGAATCAGAGTGCACCCATAGTCCCATGCTTCTGTTTTCCTGATTCAGAGTCTAAAAGGCATATCAACTTGATGCAGGGCAAAGCAGTATCTGCGAGTAGATATGTCAAATTGTTGATTAATTGCTTAGCTCTATTGCTCGTGTAAAACCGATGCTATCCGCTGAGACAATTGCCTAGAAAGCTGTGATTATGTGAACAGAAGTTGTGATTCTATTGCCTAGATGTAACAAGGTATGTCACAAATCTCACAATATATGGTTTTGTTGTCCCTCTCAACTCTTCCAAGGAGGGTGGGGGATGTTTCCATTATGATAGTTGTGGATTGATTATATTGATATTGATACTTGAATCATGAATGTTGCCTTCTTTAATCGATGTATCGAAAATCTGAATCATAGAAACATAAACTATGAATTGATTTATGGAAACTAGAGTAACCAAGTGATTTATGAATGGCTGATTTATCGATTGTTATTTTAATGGAAAAGCTTATGTGATGGAAGTTAATGGGTTATTTGTGTAATTAATTTTATACAACATAGGTGTGAAAATGAGATGTTGAACTTAGAGAAATCTAAGAAGTAATAGAATATAGCCTAATTTCAAAAAATGAATGGAAAATTCTACATGAAAACCTCTAATTATCATTATTACACTTTCTATACGGTGGAAATATTTTTTTTGACCATACTCTTATATTGAAAATTTACTCTTAAACGGCCTTTTGCATTTGTATTTATCATTGTCCGCAGAGCATTTGTTATAAAAGACGTACATGTGTTACATCCACTTTAGTGCTTGGCTTGACTACTTGTTTGTTTAGGAACATCTTTTGTTTTGCATAAATTGTATTACGTATTCATTATCACATATTCATCACATCCTTCGTTTCTTAACAAGAGGCGCAAAAGTTAACTATGAACGAAAATGTGTATGTATGGAAAAAAAATGAATTTATTTTACAATGGATACTGATATGACACCTTCCCTTACAAAATTACATTTTACATTTATCATCACTATTGTTTTTTAATTCTTGCCTGATAAATAGATTAACTGGTTAAGGTAATGAGTTGTAGACTTTATTGTACATAACCACATGACTAATAAAGTTAACACACAAGTTTAACTTAACCAAACACGACCACTAGTATGCATGCGTTCTTATGTCTATTTGTAAGCAAATACAATCTTGCTTCACATACCAACTTTAACACCATTACTCAAATGTTGATAAATGTACAACATATAATCAAAGTAAACACATAACAACAAAAATAAATCGTTTGTTACATGTAAAACCCTTACTTTAATAGTAAGGTAAAACCATGTAACTCCTACAAAGCAAATAAAGGATAAAAAACATAGCATCAACCATTATATTATACAGAAAAACGACTTAAACAAATATACACCCTTGAATATTCAAATAGCTTGAGCCATGAACATTCAGACAGAAATTTGCTCCAACAGCCGGATTAAAAACGATGGTCTTAAAATCTGTATAACAAACAATTGCAAAAATATCATCAACACATAAATACATAATAATTACAGTGTACACTTAGAACTAATAAAATATCATTAATTTGTAATTCTTCCCCGTTTTCCTTAGTTATATGTAGGTGTAATAGATATTAGTATGTCAAAAAAAAAAAAAAAAAAAAAAAAATGCACTTTGAGGAATTCAAAGACTACTCAAAGATAAGACAATAAAATATATAGAAAAATAAAATCAATATTGGTGAGTATAGAAAATGAGACCTTTTCAGTGGCTTTGATTTGCAGTAAATGTGACGCAATCAAGAACAAATATGGGAATGTGTTGTATGAGAGGGTAGTCTTCTCCATCTGGTACATCGCATCTTTTTGATAGGTTTGGGCATCCCTTAATTATGAGTCTTTGTAGAGAGTTGATCTGGCTAATGCATTTGGGCAAACCCAACACATTTGGACAATCTTCAATTTCAAATTCCTCGAGAGAGGTGAAACAATGTAACCATTCTGGAAGCTCCACTAAACCTTCACAATGTGAAATACAAAGATATTGAAGAGAAGTTGCAGCAGATTGTATGTCATTTGGAAGGCTTGCCATTTTCACATTGCTGACTTGCAATGCTCGGAGGCTTTGAAGGCCTTGAAGGGCCTCTCCCTTGTTCATATCTAACTCTTCACAATTTCTTATGTCTAATATCTGAAGGTTAACAAGGTACTTCATACCTTTTATAAGACTTGTCAATTTTGGACAATCAACGATGCTCAAGCATTTGAGGGAGTTGAGGAGCCCAATATTATCACTGTCCCACAACGAGATCAAACTCTTACATGAATGAAAATGTAAGGATTGTAGAGAACTTAATTCATTGAGTTTGGTGTTAACTAAGCTCTCTTGACATGTTGTCACAATGAATAACTTTAAGCTTTGCAATTGATGTATATCCCTTGGTAGCTCTTTTAATTGCTCACATCCACCGATATTAAAAACTTCTAAATTCAATAGATTACATATTGTATTTGGAAGTGATTTCATGATGGGATTACATGACAAGTCAAGATATCTCAAATGCTTCAGGTTCCCAATCGACTTTGGCAACTCTTCAAACCAAAGACTCCCAAGTCCCAAGACGCGTAAGCAGCTGAGATTGGATATAATACCCTCTAGAAAGGACATGCTTACATGTTTCATGATATAACCAAATCGAAACGAACGGGCTCTCTTTGCTCTGAGAAGCTCTGTTGGAAATTGTTCTTCTTTTAAATTATCATATCCCCAAACTACATGCCTAGCCTGGTCTAAACCTGTCATCTTATCCAAAGTTACAACAACTAACTCTTCTGCCATAATGTTCACTGCTAGATCATGCAAAAGATCGTGCATTTTACTCTCGCAAAGTAAACCCACAATATGTACATTTGATTCTTCAACCAAGAACATTGATGTCATTTCCCTTATGTAAGAGTATCCAAAGCCATCAACATCCTTATTTCTCTTATCCAGTGGCAACAATCCAAGTGCGCTCCACATATGTGATACAATATTTGAAGTAAATGGAGTATCTTTCACGTACAAGGACATGTGAGCAAAACATGGTTTTAAGTGAGATGGTAATTTATCGTAACTTAATTTTAATAGTGGTAAGACATTACCATATTGTTGCTTCAATGCAGGAAAACTTTCCATATCATTAATTCGTTGCCATTCTTGTTCTTCCCTCACACTTCTTAATAAACTCGCCAAAGTGTTCACAACAAGTGGGATGCCATGGCATTTTTTAACAATAGACCTGCCAATTTCACAAAGATTCGGATATTTGGCTTCCTCAACTTCGTCCTTGAATGCCAATTGCTTGAACATTGACCAACAAACATCAATTGGAAGACTATCCAAGTCATATGATTCAAACGTTTGAGTGATAGAAGCAACCTTGGAGTTTCTTGTAGTGATCAAAAGTACACTCCCCGGATTACCAACAGCTAGCACGTCCTTTAGCTCTTTCCACTTTCCGAATTCCTCAACCCAGACATCATCCAACACTAGCAAGTACTTCTTCCCACTCAACAAACTATGGAGCTTTCTCACCAATATACACATTTCTTGGTTAGGAGTACTGTCACCGGTACCATCCTTCAGAATGTCCTCTATGATCTTAGGTATGCGAAACGTGTCCGAAACACATACCCACAACTTTAGATCAAAGAGTTGGACATCGTGATACACCAACTTGGCTAATGTAGTTTTTCCTATCCCACCCATCCCAACAATAGGAAGCACTGAGAGCTCACTAACACCATTGACTCTTCCCAATCTCCTTATAACATCTTGCTTAGCCTCTTCTCTTCCCATAACATCAGGTACATGGACATATGAGCTTCTATCAAAAGGATTCCTGATGTCAGCAGTTGAGTACTCAACTGGACTCTCAGTCAAACCAAAATCATTTTTCTTAGCCACAATGTGTTCTAGCTGTTCACAGAGATCTCGTATTTTGTGACTTACATGAAAAGAAAAAATGATGGGGTTTGAGGAGGAAAGATAGTACCTAAGCTTGCGCCGAAAACGACCTTCATTGACACGGCGTTGTAAAGCGTCAAAGGCGACTTCATCCAAGAGATCATCAATATCATAAACAACACGCTTGAGATCTCTTAGCCAAACTTTCATGGCTTCGTTCGAATATTTCTTTTCTTCAGCATCATGGAGGACAGCACAAATGGCAGTGAGCTTATCAGCTATCTTATTAAGATCTTTCTCAGCTGACTTGGCCGCTTTTAATTCTTCGGAAACAGAGGAAATGACAGAATCACCGGTGAAGGAACCGATCTTACCAAGTATGGATTTAGCGATCGGCAATATGATTGCTTCTGCCATTTACACATTTGTGACAAAGAAAGAAGAGGAATTGAACGAGTGAATTGAAGCTAAAAATGAAATACGTAGTAAAGTGAAATTGAACTAAATTATTGTAGGGGGGCATTTGTTAGCTGTGCTCGTAAAAAGCAGTGGTTAAGGCAATTCAAGGACAATAATATCTTAAATCAATTATTAAAAACCAAGTTATTCCTGTCCACCAAAAAAAAAAAAAAAAAAAAGAATTATTCCTTTTTGCTATGGACCATTGTCTATTACACCATAAAATTATTCCTGTTCAATGATTCTAATAAATTTTATAAATTCCTTATCGTTAAATCCTTAAGAGACGTCAGCCCACTTGGTATACACTTCAACTTCTCACAATCACATACTATCCTCCTTGGGATGTGAAGCTCGCTTATAGAGATCCAAATATTTAATTATTTACTGCAGTCCCATCCCCAGTATAAAAAGCCTCCCTTATACATTATAATAGACATAACAACATCTTATATGGCTACATTGTCTTTTACATAATAACTAAAAAAGATGATCAAAGTGAAATGTGTGAGTAGTACCAAAAGTCAAAACATTGCGAGTAATTTGAAACAGAGGAAGTAGATGAGCAAAATTAGGAGGAGTTTTTAAAAAAAATCAAGAGCAGTTTCTTCTTTTATGGGGAGTGACCACATTTGAAAAGATAAATTTATGTGAAAGAAAGGGAGAGGTTATAATGATAAGACAGTTATGATAGAACAATTGTGAATAAGAAAGGTAATTTTTCACCTTGATAGGGGTAATTTGGGGATAGTAAAACTTATCACCGAAATGGTGCTTTCACTTTATATATAGGATCTCAAATAAAAAAATAAAAAAAGTAAACAATAAAAAAAAACTACCTAAAAAATCTCCGCTTATCCAATTTTGTTATAGCTAAAAAAATTTAATGCTAATTGCTTAGGACATTTTCATAATTATTTTTACTTAATAATCTGTTTCAAAATGTTTATCCCAATTGATTTTTTCATGTTTTCCAATGTAAGGACCCGTTTACTTCGCCTTATTTTTGCTGAAAAGAAATTATTTTTACTGAACTGAAATTAATTAATTTTGCTGAACTTAAATTATTTTTACTAGAATTCAATTTTATTTTTTTTCGAAGTGGAATTATTTTTATTGATTTTCTATTATATTTTTCCTTTGAAGTTACTAATTTTTACTAAACAGAAATTATTTTTACTAAACTGAAATTATTTTTGATTAACTGAACTTATTTTTACTGAATTGAAATTATTTTTATTAAACTGATATTATTTTACTGAATATTATTTTTTTAAACTAAAGTGAACAGGGTCTAATATTGTAATATGAATATCTTAAGTTAAACTACTGTACATATTACAAAAAAATAAATTCTAAAAATTTCTTATCTGAAAATTAAAAATCATGACGAATATAACAAGATTAGATTACTATAATTTGAAGTATAGAAATACCATTAAGGCACTAGATCTTATAATCATTAAAGCTTCGAAAAGGAAAGAATAAAAGAAACACAAATGTTTATATGTGGATGTGGTCGAGGTTACTAATAAGAGTTACTTATTCAAGGGTTACTCGTTTCGACAGGGGTTACTTATAGGGGTTAGTTATTCAAGAGTTTCTCAGTCGTACCCCGACGAAAACGCATTAACCGACTGAGTAACCCAAGAATAAGTAACCCTTAATCGACTGAAAAGTTTAAAATAAGTAACCCTTATAAGTAACTCTTGAATAATTAAGTAACCCCAGCTACACGGTATGGCCAGCCACATTGAAAAAAGCATTGTAGCTGAAAACAGAAGGAATATGTAAATAACATAGATATTACTATTTCAGGGAGATCATTGAGCATTTATTGGGGAATGAATAAAAGTTAATTGACTTATAGTTGTGCTTAAAATGAAAAAGTGTTGCAAATAATAGAAAATGGAGGAAGTGTTTAAAATCTATACATTTCGTAATAATTGCAACACTTCCTTCTTCATTCGATTTATTATAATTGCAACACTTCCTTAATTGGTAAGAACTAACTACAATTTTATTAAATCTATCTCCTACCAACCCCATTTAGGCCTTGTTTAATTCACCTTAATTTTACTTATTTCAGAAAAAATAAGCTCAGATCATATCAGAAAAAATAAGTTCAGATGAGATCAGATTAGAAAAAAAAAGTGCAGATCATATCATCATTTTATGTGCAGTTTTTTATCGCTAAATATCTTTAATTTCGTAATGAAAAAAAATTATGAAAATCACATATTAAATAAAAATACATTTTATTATGAATCTAACAAGACTCCACTTGATATATTTTTTCCGTATAAATTATCGTATATTTAAAGTCAAAGTTTGGTCAAATTTGACATTCAGATCAGATCATACTAAATCAGATCGGATCAGATAAGCAAAAATAAGGTGAACCAACCAAGCCCTTACACTACTCTTTTTTTTTTTTATCATTTTTCTCTCCTATTTACAATTAAATTTATCTCCACTAACCATACTTTACATTATAAAATTCTCTCTTTGGTCCTCCATCCTATAATTTTCCTAAAATTTTGTGGCATCCCTACTACTACGATTATTACGAAACGGATGGAGTAATACATTAACCCTTTTCTATTTTTGATGTTAAAATTAATTAATGAACTTCTAAAAAAAGCAACTCCAAAGGCTATGTTGCAAATAAAAAGAAAAGTATATAAATTTTTGAAATCATGTTAGAAAACCATGACCAATTTCCTACAAGACGAGCTACCAATCTCATCGTGTTGGATGATGTACACAACCTCCATGTTTTGATTTATGAACTTTAAAACCATAAAAACGGAAAATATTTTATATATATATATATATATATATATAAAGATAAACCACTGAACATAAGGGATCCTACTCCTCCGACAAACCAACTTGTTTGAGGCCAAAGCTTTCATCTTTGTACTGTAGTTTTTAGAGAGTATTGGGTTATGGTTATGTAGTAACTAAGTTTGACTTATTTGAGGCAAAAGCTTTCCTTTTTGTTTACAGATTAAGTCTTGGTTCAAAGAACTAGGTTTTCTTAGAAATGGTCATTTGACAACGTAAACAGATAAATTAATCAAACTAATTTATACACGTAATACCTAACCTATCGATTCTATTTTAACCTATGTTACAAATAAAATACTTCCTCCGTTCTTTTTTTATTGCATTATAGGGATTTTGGAGACAAAATTTGGTAGTGAAAAAAAAGTAAGAGAGAATCGTAAAAATACAAAATTGTCCATGTAATGTAAAGATAAAATAAAAAGTAAGGGTATGTTAGGTATTTACAATGTTAACATAAATATTTGATATTAAAAGAACAGAGAAAGTAAATAATTTTTAAAATCAAGTTAGGAAGCCTTAACTAGGAGCCACTGTATCTCATCGCCTCAATCATGTACAAACCTCCATTTTTTCATTTTTGAACTTCAAAACCATAAAATGTTTTTTTTTTTTTCCCTCTAGATCTACCACTGAACATAAGGGATGCCCAGATTCCCTACAAACCATATGAAGTTGGGTTATTTACTATCTTCCCAAAAACCTGAAAAGTTGTGATTTGAGAATAAGAGAAACTGTCTTCTGATAATCAACAGTGACATTGAGGGTGGTTGCATCTTTTAACGAAACCGATTACATACTTCTACAAGAAGGATGCAAAATTGCAAACAATTGACACAACTAATGCTACAAAACAAAGTACACAAAATGACATTATAAGGTTTTAGAGTGTCAAAATCAGGAACACCCTCATCCTTTCAGACTAGTAGAGTGTTACAACCAAAAAAAATCAGCAATCAATAAGGGAAAATATAAATGCTGAAAAACTTCTAAGAATCATCACTAACCATAGTGTTCATTTTTAATAAATCCTGTAAAAAAATAACTTATAAATGCGTAGAAATCTAAATTCCGACTTCATATCACCCTCTTCCAAGCAAAGAGTTTACAGTTACACCCAACACCCTAACTCTTCTCCAGCGCCTGTCATTTATCCCATTCAGATACTACATTTGCTAAAATAATGCAACAGAGAAGTGTATTGTTGATATGTCACCCCAACAAAGATGGGTGCGTCTCTTTAAAGTTTAAAACAAAACAATTGCACATTCGATCAGCAGTTAAGCATCTTTTATGCGAGTTATATCTTTAAGGTAATGGGCAGGCTTCCATTTTGTATTCCCCACACCAAAAAGGCAAAAATCTGTAAGGTCTGTAGAGCTCCCATGTTCCTGTTAAGGACTGCAAAGGTTTTTCAGGTCCTCATCCTTGGCATACCAATTGGGAATTATCTTGGAAATATGAGGATAAAGGTCCTTGTAAGCATTTCTGATGGTTCCTTCAGCAACACCAGTAGAAAGTGAGATATCTGTAAGAGAAGAAGTTTTTCGTGTTAGGAGCTGTTTGGTTAGACTACTGGAAACAGAGTGGAAAGAAAACATACAAGAGTTAACTCTTACCTTTTCATTTATTTGGTTCAACTATGGAAATGAATCACTAACACTTAACTGCCTTTCTTTTTGTTTAAAGAGGACAAGGGTAATTGTTACCTTAAGTTTTACAAAAGGTAACAAATAGGTGGAAACCATTACCCCATTACCCCTATGGTAATTGTTACCTAAACCTTCTAACCAAACACTTGGTAACGGTAATATTTAAATTGAATCTGTTTCCAACCAAAAAAAAAACTCTTACCAAACATGCTCTTAATACGATGAGCAAACCAACCTTAATATCCAATCTCAAATTTACATGAAATCAGACACATTTCCAGCAGAGACTCAATTAATCGTTGGTACTGTTCAAGTACAAAACCAAACTACCAAGGATGGACAAACGATCATTACATTAGGACATACAGCGTAAATATCACACGGGAAAAATCCTCAATAAGAACGATAACAGAGAAGGCCTAATCCACAAATGTTAATAATAAAAGTAGCAATTTAAGGAAAATACGGCCCTGTTTGGTTTTACAATAGCTTGTAGCTGGTTGATATAGCCGGTAATTACTACTTGAGTGTCCGTATTAACCAAAAAACTGAATGTTCAATTAGTTTCATAATCTTCTATGATCTCTTTCAAATACAACTTTTTGAGCCCAAAAAGCTCTTTCAATAATCTGTATTTACCATATCTCAAATTAACTTTTTTAAAAATGGTCAAACCTATAGTAGGGTTCAAAAAGCTAAAACCATCATTCAATTTGGATTGGTTTATACTTTTCATTTCTTCCTCTCATCAAACCCCGATATAGAGAAATCCACTTGACAGTCCGGTATACAAGACCATTCTTTTCCTTGACAAACCACTAAATCTTATACTGCACACATCAACAATTTCACCCACATCTAGTAGTAGGAAAAATCCAAAAATCAAGACTGGATACCAATAGTGGATAATCCATTCCCTATCCACAACCTAGTTTTGCTGTTTAATTATATAATGGACAAACTCGTACACTTTAAGCAACTGGACAGTCAATAGGAGCAGAATACTGTTCAAAATTCTTGGTGGTACTAAAAATTGAAATAACTCTATAACTAAAAGAGAAGTAAGCCAAAGCTCAATTTCCAACCACTACAACAAAGAAAGTGATCTTCCATTTTCCTTTGAAACCTCTCCAACAATGGAGGGATTTGATTTATTAAAAGGGGAGAAAATAGATCCTTCCAACTCTCTCCCCTTCCCTCCTTGCATTAGATAGTTAAATAAAAGGATGGTGTATCCCTCCTTTTCTCTCCTTTCCTTTCCCTCATTTCTCTCTATCCAAACATAGCAACAGTTAGAAATTGTCCATGTTACAACTTACAAATAGGCAACGAAGCAAAACTACAAAATGTTCTCACTAAATGCTTGCACGTGTTATCTTTTGAAATTTATTGATTTTGTCCCCACAAATTTTTAAATAGTCTCTGGAGCATTAACCCTTAAGAAACTGACATCTAGCAACCCATTTAGAGAGGAAGGTTGTGACACGCCTTTAAGTCTCTTTTGAAAAATATACATACAGCAATGACGCACCCACCCACCATCCCCCCCCCCCCAACACACACACACACACACACACACAAGCATCTCCCACATCTAAAATAAGTTGCATTTTAAAGGTGAACAAGATCTAACATCCAAACCCAGGATAAAAGAATCCAGGTAACTTTAGATTATGGAGTCTTAACGATTGTGTACATGCATCAATTTTCAGAAATTGCATAGTAGCAATAGCAGGTCATAATCTTCCTGGTAAACAAGTATCTGAATAGAATCCTACATGTGCACAAAAGCTTCAAAATGACATAACAAGAAGACAAACCTCGAAGGGGTTTTTTTTCCTCCGAAAGTTGGGTAATAATATATATCACTGCTGCAGCAATAGATATGGGACTTCTCCTGTATAAATTGCAAGAAAAAGAGCATGTTAGTGCATGGATGCTTATTAATTTATGTAGTGTGGTACCGATTACAAAAAAGAGGCACATGCATTCTTCCTTGTATAACACAAATGATCTTTAGTGACCTACATATCTATCAAACAGATATTACAACCCCGAAGCAGCAGAATAAATATGGTGCACCACAAACTAGACTACTCTTACAACCTTTATCCAAAATTATTTTATGTCAAGGTAAAAATAATTATTTTTTCGTGGATCTATCTGGCTGAGTATTCTTGGAGATAATATACATCCTCTATCTCTTCTGATGATTCATGGAATATACACAAACATGTATATTCACAGCCCAGCATAGCACTTAAGAGAAAATGGCTCAGTATGGGATAATAGCATACTGAAACTAAAGGGACAACATCTAAACCAGCTCATGCAACTTAATTTTATAAAATAGAATTTGGTCTTGTTGATACAGAAATACTTCGTATGATACTTCCAATAGTTTCAAACCAGTATCATGACTTAGAAATAGTTTAAGCTTTTTTTTTTTTTTTTTTTTTGACGAATAGAAATATTTTAACTTGCTAGAAACAATTCCTATTCCTATACAATATCCTTTTGTAAGAAAAGCAAACAAGATTGGACTATAATACATTAAAAGTACCACCTTATATCAATTTCTTCTGATTTCTGAACAGCTTCTTGAGCAGCCTTCATGGCTTGATTGTTCATACCAAGATTTGAACAAAAACGTCTCTGTAAGAAGTTTCAATCCCATGTCAAAAGAATATAATTAACCTCAAGACATCAAACTGAATATATATATATATAGTCATCGGGAAACAAGGTACTTACCAGAAAATCTCCAGCATGTATAGTTCCCATGCCCACTGCTTGTCCCATTTCAACCTCCAGCTGTTTCACAATGTACTCTTTTGCACGACCAATGTCTTTTTTTGAAGCTCCATTGGCGACAGAACAGATTTCTATATGAAATCCACATGTTCAATGAAGCTCAGACACAAATAAATGGTGGAAGATCCATATTTTATAAGATTCTAAGGCTGTACCCTTTACAGTCCGAGGCTTGTCCTCTTGCCGACAAGCTATGTATAGGCATGCAGCCAAAATAGCATCTTGATTTCTTCCTCTACTAGACTTCTGATCTTCTACTTTTTTGTATATCTCACTAGCTCGGTCCTGTTAAAGATAAAACAAACCATTAGAAATAATTTACAAAGGTCAAATGAAAAAGCAGCCACAAAGGTAATATTGACCTTGTATGTACAGTAAAAAGATATGTGGTTAATGTTAGTGAAAGCACTAAAACAATTTTTAAAAAACACCTCCCTATTTACAGTTATAGCTCAATAATTTTCTCACAGTAATAAGTGCACTAATAGCACAATGAAAGGGATGGCACCAGACCACTAGTCATGACCGCATCTTCACTCTTCAGGTTGAGTAATATTACTTCATCTAACCTACCGTGTTGTTTGTGAGGTATCTTATTGAAGACTTATCAAGCAAATTGCTTTTATGATAGATTTATACCCAAGCAAACAACGACTTAAGGCAATCAAAACATAAGTCTAAAAAGTAAATTAGTAAACAAAAGGAACGACCGAATTTTAAACAAATAAAAGTTGCTTTGGCTAGCCAGCGCGTTTAAAAAGCAAATCAATTCCATAAAATATTAACCAAATGAGATTGAAGTCATTACCTTTATGGTTGAAACAAGACCCAACCTGAAACAACAAAATATCCCCATTAGCCTTTAGCTTCACAATTTCAGATTCAATGTTCGAAAGCGAACTAAAGAGTAAACCCTTGATTTACAAAAAAAAAAAAAAAAAAAAAAAAAAAATGCAATCATACATATATAACATAATCAATGAAGATATTACCATGAATGATGTCATATATAGCTTGCATGATTTAAAAAGAAAGGGGGGCACAATATGCTTTAATTTGACACTTTTGGCCACAATGAAGTGCTCATGTTAGGCATGTATTTAAAGGGAGGCTTAAAAGGAGCAAATGAATTTGTTAGCCTAGATAGAGATTAGACCATAGAAACAATTCACTGGAGTTGTAAGTCTGCCAATACACAATACCATATTAAGCCAAGCAGTGAAACAGCTTTTTAGTTCCAAAACAAACCCACTTTCTTTAACATTAATTTCTAACAAAAGATCAAAAATGACAGGTCCCAGAATGATTCATGTAAGCAACCTAAGAGACATAGCCCGTTCCTTCTTTTTGAAATTTAGGCATACATAAGATTAGTAATCCATAGACAGGGAAGTGGATATTTGTTACAAACACTAAACTTGCTCCCAAATAATTTAGAGTATAACACTATTCTCCCATCTCCAATCCCATGTTACCAATATGATCCACCAACTCTTTCTCTCAATCACGTCACAATAAAGCCCAAACACCATTCATTATTCATTAGGATTTAGTACTAATCAGCGAGACCACCAGCCACAATCTCCCTTCTTTTGGGTATGATCTAAACAAAACATCCACAGAGCAACCCTAAAGGGCTTACAATAACATTAACTTCAACATTCATTGTATTCAGCAGACTGTCAATAGTGCCAACATTTATCTAAGTCTGCTTCTCCATTGCACAACCACAAACCTCAAACAAGAAAGCCAAAAGCAATCAGCCATAAACTGCTGCAGGATCATTTGAAAATAATGCAGGTTAAACACAATTTCACCTTCCAAATAAATTTAGTAAACAGAACAACGATTTTCTTCATTAAAATTTAGAAACCATTTCACCCCTACTCCTCAACTTAGTTTCATTTTCTATACAAAAAGTTATCAAGGATTCTCCCTCAATCATATCTGTACATTTTAGGAGTAAACATAAGATTTTCGCTACAACCAACAATATTACAATACCCCACGACTTAGTCTCGACAACATTATAATCACAGTACTTGTGCAAGTAATCATCTATTCAAATGCCCTACAATATCGCCACGACACAGAACAACCCAAATCAACCATTCATTGGGATCATGACCAAAAATCCAAAACTTATTCCGACAGCATATTTTTAAATCCAATATAAATTCACATTAATGTAAGGAGATGGACCAACCAACATTACACCAATACACCATAGTTTAGTCTTTTCAACCAAAAATTCACCCAACTTCACACTTTTCCCTCAGATTAACACCAAATGACCCAATAAATTTTCCAACTTTAACCCTCAAAAACAAATACTGTATATAATCCTACAACAATCAAGAACAAAAACAAACCCACCGTCTTATCAAAAAATCAACTTTTTAATTCCCTTTCAAAATAAACAATTCAAACAGCTGAAATAACAATAAGGCAATAAAAATCAGACCTATCAGCCATAGTGGCAATGGTCTTGAAGGCTTGAATAAGACCCCGATCGGGGTTCGAACCCCGATTCTGCCACCGCCCTAGCGAAGACGATAAATAATCTCCAGTAGTACCATTCGGCTTTGATATAACGGTGGACAAACCACCGTCCGATAACAAGGGGTTGGTAGGTCCACCAACACGGACCGGGTCATTATCGTTCGACTCATTGGCGAACGTTCTCCACTCGGAGGTTTCATCGATTGAGTGAGATTCCAATACGAGTCCGCACTCTGAACAAACTGTGTCACCTGCAGAATGATCGAACACTACCTCGGTGTGTTTCTTACAGTCGCTGCAAAACGCATCTCCCATTTCTCAAATTGATTCAAAATCCTAGAAATTTTCCAGAATCAAAATCTCAAATTTTGTTTGTTTTCAATTGATTTGAATTGAATGGGAATTTGGGATGATGGGAGTTTTTGCAATTAGGGTGGAAATTGGGGAAGAAGGGAAATGAGGAGAGGAGAGAGAAACTGGGAATTGAAGGGGGTATGGGGGTATTTATAGAAGGAGAGAGTGTGGGTTTGTTGGCTTGTTAGGAAAGTCATGGGAAATTGATGTGGTATTAAAAAGCGAATGAATTAATATATGTGTGGGACCTATTGAGTTGTGTTTGGGCTTGCTTCGTCTGTAATAATCGTATCACTTACCTATTATCTATTACAAAATATACATACGACTATACAAGTATTGACGATTTGTTTTACTATTTTTAATAATTTCTTCGTTTTAATGGACTCATATAATAGGAGTGAAGAGATAGAAAAAATTTATTAACTAAAAATAAAAGTGATGCAACTTAATACTTTTATTTAAAGGAAGTGATGACTTTCATCACCTCACTGGCATTGGCCACATTTATTTTGGAAAGTATACCTTTCATCAATCACATAAATTATATCTCGTGTATTAGTATGAGTATGTTCTATTGTTGTAGTTCTGCTTATTAACTACGAGTAGTCTACGAGTACTAAAAGAAGAAAAATATGCGTGGGACCTAATGACAACTATTAGAACTTAGAAGTAGTAAGCTATATGTGTTTAGAGTTTGGACCGCATGCATATGCAGGTAGCTTAGGTTTGTTACAAGTACTAATTTGTAAGTCTGTAACGGCTAACGTCATTATTACCACGTTTTTTAAAAATATCTTGCGTTCAATTTAGGTAGGCTAAATAAATTTACAAAATTGAACTAGTTTTCATTTTTTTTCTTTTTTTTTTTTCCGAAGAAACATAATTGAACCAGTTTAGTTTACTTGTTTAGCACAGTTGAGCTTGACAGATCAACTTTGACAAGTTGTGAGTTGTGCACACGGACATTACTGTGTTAAACAAGCAAACATATACAGCCGTAAGGCCCGTAACTGACTAACTGTACTAGAAGCTCTTATTGTTCAAAACTCACGTACTCGTTATTTTTATTTTATTTTTATTTTTAATTTTGACACAATCGTACTCGTTATTTCGTTAAGTGTTTATTGCATAATGCGGAGTATAGGAATGTATGATCGTATATTAACGTACTTTCTCCATTTTATAATGACAGTCTCATTTTAATTTTTTATAGTCAAACTTTTACAACTTTGACCAAACACTCACATTAATATATATAGATATACATTCATTTGAGTACGGTTGTGTTGGTTTTTATTGGTGTTATTAATGTGAGTGTTTGGTCAAAGTTTTAAAAGTCTACGGTTGTGTTGGTTGGTGGTTTCGCCAATCACACTCATTTGAGTACGCACATCACGTATCTCCTCACGCACAGCTTGCAATTCAACCATGAGTTTTTGTTGCATTTCACGCATAAAATCTTGTTGGTTCTGGTTCGAAGTCATGGTCACACCCTGGTCTAGACCGTGGCTCTGATACCAACTGATGCGGAAACTAAGTCTGGGCTAGGTGACAATTAGTTAGGTTCAAGTGTTTAGGCTAGGGTTTCAAGAGGACTCGGTGTTTGGCTATGTGTTTCGGATTTGTATTTAGTAGCTCCTAGCTCACGTGTACGAACTAGGTTAGGGATAGTTATGGCTAGAGTTGAACACTCACTCTACTAGCCACAAAAACAAGCTCACTCCGAGTGAAGCTTACAAACTCAAGTGCACGAGTTCAAGTCAACTTGAGTCCACAAGTTAAACAGAAAAGACATTAGACAAATATCTCAAATTGTTGTATTTCATTAAAGGTTGGATGATTACAAACTAGAATAAAACTTCCTTTTATAGGCTAAGGAAGCTACTTACATTATTAAGCTAAGTAGTCTTAATTAATTAAACTAGCTAATGAGCACACCAAAAGCTGTCCAAATGCATCAACCTCAAGTGAGTAACGTCCCCAAAGTGGCTGCACATTGAAGGCTTTCAATCAGCTTCAAAAGCTGTCCCTCCAGCTGCAGTTAATAGGCAGCGGGTTTCAAGGAGAACCGCTGCAAATGCATTGAATAGGCAGCGGTTCTGGCGAAAATCGCTGCTTGTTCTCTGCTTTCCCAGTTCAGGGCTTGCGGTTACACTCGTTTATTACAGCGTTTATCTTAGCTATTTAACTACTAATAAACTAAAATTTAAACATCAAAATAAGTAGTAATAACATGCAATTAAGCTAAGGAAATTTAAACTTCAAAAGAAGCATCCAAAGGGCGTGTTACTCCCTCCTTAAATGCTCCATTAAAACTGTGTAACCTCCCCCTTTGATTGCCTTGTTTAGTGCCCTCATTTCTTGCGTGTGGAATGATTAAGACCAAGAGGATATTCTTCCTCTATGCTAGGCTTTCCACGAACAAGAATCCAAGGCAAACAAGCCTTGATTAATAATCAATCCAAGTCACGCATGACTTGAATGGAGATGGAGCAAAGTCGAGCCCCATGCGTGAGTCTTTGTAGAACTTGGAACCTTGAATGAACAAACCATGGACTAAAGGGACTTGATTTTGTTGGACCTTAGAACGTGTCTGTGGACCTTTCGAACAATGCATTGGACCATTAGACTCATTAGATTGCATTGAGACTTGAACAATATCCAATTCCGAATCAATTTCATTGGGTAAAGGGTTGTCAAAAGGTTTTTTAAAAGAAAAAGTAAAGAAAAGTTAAATGTATTGTATTCTATGTTAAGATATTTTGTAGTCAATATTTAGTTTTTTTCATAAAAAAATGCGGAAAAGAAAAAAAAAAAGTTTAGGCAGAAAAATATTGAAAGAGAAGCTGACATGTGTACAATATGAGAAATAAATTATGTCAGCAGTTGTTATTTTAGTATTGATTATTATAGATGTGCACACCCCTCATTCTAATAGTTTCCGCAACAATGCACCGATAATTGAGGAAGACTATAACAACTAATGAACTAAATGATTGATGATACTGTACGAATTCAAAAGAAATATATTTTGTTATAATTTCATAAACTAATGTATCTTGCTAGTCTTGTTTAAGACTTTAAGGGAGTGTTTGGTATAAACATTGTAAGGCCCCGTTCACTTCACCTTATTTTGCTGAACTGAAATTATTTTCACTGATTAAACTTGAATTTTACTGATTAAAACCGAATTTTACTGATTAAAACTAAATTTTACTGAAATTATTTTTACTGAACTGAACTTATTTTTACTGATTTAAATATTATTTCTACTGATTATATATATATATATATATATATATATATATATATATATATATATATATATATGTAAAGTAATCTATTTTTGTAATTTATATAGTCGGCATATATCACAATAATATATTATGTCAACCATATAAATTTACATAATATTGTATATAAAAATGGTTGGCCTATAACGATAATGTATATGGACAATTTAAGAGTTTTGCAAAGAATCACTACTAGAAATAGGCCGATTTACGACGGAATTTTTCCGACGGACATGTTTTTCCGTCGTAAATTCAGACGGAATTTTATTCCGTAGGAAATTTACGACGGATTTCCTACGGAATAAAATTCCGTCGGAATTTATGGACTTTCCGTCGGAATATTCCGTCGGAAACTTAATTTTTCGACGGAAATCAAATCCGTTGGAAGTTTCCGACGGAATTTTTCATCGGAAACTTAATGTTTCGATGGGAATAAAATTCATCGGAAGTTTTCGACGGAATATAATTAAATAATTAAAAAAAAAAAAAAAAAACCCTAATAACCCAAAATTCCGCCACTCTTGCCTCATTTCTCTTTCTCTCTCTTCTCCTCTTTCCTCCTCTCTTTCTCTCTCTTCTATTTCCTCTTCTGTGTTCATCTCACGCTCCATCTCCTTTTCTTTCCTTTCTCTTTCTCCTTTCTTCTCCTTCCTTCTCCTTCTTTGTATTCTGTTTTCATCTCACGCTCCGATCCATCTCCTCTTCGTCCTCTTCGACCACCACAAGACCAGCAGCAACAACGACAACACCACCTACCACCGCAACGACACCAGCAACAACGGCAACCAACAACGACGACACATTGTAAACATTGTAATTTTTTTAATTAATTTCATAATACAATTGTATATATATTTAATTTGTTCGATTTCAAATTTTTTGTGTATTTTTTTCGGATTTCTAAATTTATTGTACGATTTGGGTGTTTTGGATTTTTTTTGTAATTTCGATTTGGTTAATTATCGATTTGATTTTTGTTAATTTTTTATTTGGTTTTTGTTAATTTTCAATTTGGGGTTTTTTTTTCGATTTTGTCAGTTTTGGTCAGGGTGGGTGGATGGGTGGGGTGGGGGGTCTGGTCTGGGAGGGGGGGGTCGGGTCTGGGAGGGGAGGGGGGGTCTGGGTGTAGGTGGTGGTCTGGGTGGGGGGGGGGTCTGGTCTGGGTGGGGAGGGGGGGTCTGGGTGTGGGTGGTGGTCAGGGTAGGGGGGTCTGGTCTGGGCTCGGGTCTGGGTATGGGTGGGTGGTGGTCTGGGTGGGGAGGGGGGTCTGGGTGTGGGTGGTGGTCTAGGAGGGGGGTCTGGTCTAGGTAGGGAGGGGGGTCTGGTCTGGGTGGGGATCGGAGGGGGGGTCTGGGTGTGGGTGGTGGTCTGGGTGGGGGGGGTTCTGGGTGTGGTTAGGTGGGTTAAGGGGGGTGGGTTAAGGTGGTGGGATAAGGTGGTGGTTTACGGTGGTGGTGGTGGTCTGGGTGGGGAGGGGGGGTCTGGGTGTGGGTGGTGGTGGTGGTGCTAGAGGTGGCAGGGCTTTTTCTTTTTTTTTCTATAGCAGATTCCGACGGAAATTCAGTCGGAAATTTTCGACGGACTTTTCGGTGGCCGGAAAACCTCTTCCGATGAGAAAATTCCGTCGAAATTCCGTCGGAAAACACTGTTCCGACGGAATTGGCCATTTTTCCTACAAAGGGTGTTTTCGACGGAATTTTTCCGTCGGAAATGACCTGTTTTTTAGTAGTGAATTATCGTATATAAAAATGGTTGGCCTATAAGGATAATGTATATGATTGTCAAATTAAATATATCAACTTTGACATGCATGCACATATATATGAGACTATTAAAATATATAGACCTTGTTACAAATAGTTGATCGTTTGAATAGATTCAAAAGCAGCGAGTTGGAGTTAACAAT